CTCCTGCACCGCGGCAACCTGGACACCGGCCTGGCCTGCAATGTCCTCCTCCTCCTCCTGCTCCTGGTTTCCAAATGCCTCCCAACACACACAACGGTCACTACCTGACTTCTTGTAAAGCTTGTTTTCTCTCTCTGCTGCTCACAGCTATCTCCCTGTCAATCCCCACCCACAGTTCCAGCATTTTCCTCCTCGACTTCCATTAGTGTCCCAAAAAGTCAGGAGAAACAAGACTGTTTGTGTATGTTTGTGTGTGCGTGTGTGTGTTGTGTGGCAGCTGAGAACCAGTCTGTGCGTTTCTTTGCCTCGCCCACATACTGTTAGACATATGGCTTCATTTACCGACTAATGAGAGGGGGTCATTTGTCATGAGGAGTATAAACAAACGAGGACACACACATACTCACACAATCACACACACTCAGGCATGAACTTTTTAGAAATGTTGATCTTCTGTCGGCTGTTTCACAATCATTTCAAAATCATTTTTAGTGTTTGCTTCCCAGTTAGCCCATTGTCCCTCTCACCCTGGAAGAACATCTTGCTGGTTTTCATTTGTAGGGGAGAGTCTTTTAGCCTCGCCTGTCCTCTGTGCTTTCTCACAAAATGCAGTCCCTGGTTTAAACGTGTGCGAGCATCTCCCTCTTCTGGCTCTGCGGCGCATCACGAATGATGAGAGGACCGCAGAACTGGACCTATCCCAGATTTTCACATTTTATCTGTTTGGAAGGGAATGTCCCTGACATCCTCTTGGAATCCATTGTTCATCTATGTTTTCAATTTTTTTAATAATTCATTTCTCCGCTGCCATCCATTTGGCTAAAATAAAAACATTACGAATTGGAGATGACTTTAAATACAGAAACAACCAGAACTGAATCACAATATATTAGTAAATCACCCATGTTGGAGGAATATGTTGTTGGACACATTGTCACAACTGTATCATAATTCAACATGACACTGAGCAGACCGCATTCCCATATCTGTTATTGTGTGTGTTTGAGAAAAGCCTTTTACCTTGAAGCCACACAAAACACAGTTTACCCTGAAGTTAGTTTCATGGCCAGAGACTGTTCCTATCTCGGTCGATAGCCTACACACGTAATCCTATGTCCTAATGACGCCTGCTGACTTGCTGTTTTGGGTAAGTTATGACCTTGGGCCGGAGGTGGCAAATAGTAAGATTTATACGAGACGGCCTTAAAAATCTCCTCAGCTTCGTGAGATATTGAGGGATTTTTCAGGCAGATGTTGGTGAACTGTATTAACCGCAGTGTACGCGTCACTCTGACTTTATCCATTTAAAACATTGTGATTAGGAAAGGCAACATGAAACATCTACTGTAAGTGTTGATAACGGCAGCATGAATATTCTTTACTGTAACTATCATAAAACATCAAAAGCAAATCATATGAGAAAGGGAAACATAATTACATATGCATTAACAATCCATGCAGTTTTCTGGTCTTAATGCTTACATTTCCAAACGCTTTCTCTAGGGGGAAGCATTGCATTGCAACTAAACTTTTGTCGCAAAACTCTTTTCCATTCAACTGGCTTCTGTTTTCCTGTTCTTTCTGAACTCAGAGATTTGCCCCTAGCGAGGATTACTTTAATAAGTATGAATAAAATGTTCAAATTGCTCCTAAATCTTCTTTCTCAGCTGCAAGGAATGAACAGTCACATTTTCTACAAAAATACAACAATTGCTTCCATATTGTGTCAGTATTCTCATCCTGTATTTAGTTGAAATCTATATTTCTGAAACTACAATGCAAAGCCATGATGACATTGTGACATGGCTTTGCAAAAACACATAATGGCATTAATTATCATAATGTACAAACGTGCTGTCAGTCATTTGAGTGTATCAGCTGTTAGAGATCAGGCAAAGGCATCACATGCATCAATAACGAGGTAGAGATGAATAGTACCTCTCTTATCTGCTTGGCTCAGATCTATGTCAAAGCCTTGAGTACAATGCACTCATTATGGTGTGTGCCCGGGCATGAAGAAAGGGAAGGCTGCGTCCCTTTGTGAAGTGGGTCAAGTCCATGAAGGGGCACCAGTTGGCTGTGTCAGCAGAATGATGTGATTATAGCCTCTTAACCCTCAGAGAAGCAAAGAAACGGCCTGCAGTCGTACTATCCCGGGGTCTTTTGTCTGCCACCAAATACCAAGACGTTGCCGGGTCAGATTCCATGTCATGTGTAGTGTTGGTTTGAATTAGCGTCAAACGTAACCAGACACCCCAATGAAAACACTTCGGTCAAGCTGTGAGCTAACCTCACGGGAGCCTCACATCCTGCAGAACCCCAAAGCAGGAATGAACAGGAATCTTAAATGCAAAGCGGAGAATCCGTACGTGGACACATTGCCTGTACTGAAAGGACCAGTGCAACCTGAAAATAAATGTTCACACAACATGTAAGATGGCATTCATGTAAAGGTCCAAGTATTTGGGATATAATTGGGAAATAAGCACAGATTTTGGTATTGTAGAGCTTTTAAATCTGCTCAAGTAAGGAAAAATGTGCTCATGGCATCGGGATGCCGGCACCCAGCCCCCTCCCCCAACCACCCCCAACTGTTCGGCGTAATCCCTGGCAGCGGGATGCCAGACCTTCTCGCCTTCCAGTCGCACGATTCGTGGCCACCCATGCTAGTTGGAGCTACAAGCACCGTGATGTCAGTTCTTGGCGCAGCACGTGGCACACCACCGTAACCCCGCAATGTGTTGCCTTGACGTGGCGCTTCGATGTGTCCTATGGAGATTTATCCGTCAGTTTCTTCCTTGGAACGCGCTGCACCAAACTCCAACTTCTTTCCCTTTTGGGCCACCTAAACTTCTCCCTACGCATCATTCCTCAAGGAAGATCATTCACCTGGTAGCATTGCATCCGTCCCATCTCTCCTGGATTTCATTCCACTGGACAGTTAGAGCTGTTCCGTACTCTGGCTGAAGATTTTCTCCAAATGGAATGGGATTACATTTTCTACAACACAGTAATGCATGCACACAATTTACATTTGTATATGGATGCTAGTCCTGCTGTTGGTTTTGTGGGATTCTACAATGGAAGATGGTTCACGGCAAAATGGCCTCGCAAGGTTGCGAGAGATTGCCTAGCAACTTCCTGCAAACTCTACGCCATCATAGCCGCAGCCATTCCGCGGGGCCACGAGAAGTCTTGCAGGCCCATCCTCAATCACTCCTCCAATGCGGCATCCATCATGCTGTTCATTTGCGGTCCAACCCTGCACTCATTCACACACAATTACCTTGTATTCCAGACAACCTCCCGTAATGGCATCCCAGAACACCTCATCCAAATCATGAGCCGCTGTTCCTCACAAGCATACCACGGCTCCATCCCTTCCGATTTCAAAGATCTTCAAACTGCTCAATACACTTGTATTATTGAATTTTGTGCATGATGCGATTAATCTCCGTTAATCAGAGAAAATTGTGCGATTAATCGAATAATTTTTTTTAATCTTTGCACTAATTAAAATATAATATGTTAACTTTCCCTAATATGGCTAGCATGAAAGAGGTATCCATGTGTGTTCTGGTGTTTTCTTATTCTTTCCGACGAGTGCTTTATGTCCCTTACTCCCGTATCCGTCCACTTTTTTCCCCCAGTCCGTCCCCTGCATGCAAAAGCACTTAAAATAGCCAAACTAAAAAAAAACACACTGCCTGGTGCTCACAAGGACAGCAAGAGTAATAGACAGGGGTGTCGTGTTTCAGGTGGAAAACTTCCATATTGGAATGCAAGTGCGTGTACATGTTTGTGCCAGTCTGAAGGCTACCCCTTGGATGTGTTTGGATCTGTGGTCCCACGGCTTCGATCCTGATGATCCCTTTTCGAGGCCAGTGTGAAGCACAAGTTTTCTGTTGGAGGTAGTCAGTGGATGATTAAAGGACGTGGGAGGTGAAGCTCTTAACCGGGCTGTAAAACGTTGACCTGAGGCATTAAGTAGTGGTGTGGTGTGTGGTATTGCAGAACCTGTCTGCAGGGGCCCCGAGTTTGACAGCTGTTGCCAGATGTGACCCAGCTAAGACACGACAGGATCTGTTATAGATAGAGGTTCATGAATGTTTTGCCACTGTCTACAACGACAGTCAGGTTACATCAAAAAATAAATTATATTTACTCAATAAATGGCAGTTTTAAGAAACTAACGGAACACACTGGTTTGATTACGTAAACCAAGATGGATCCTACCAGAACGACAATGAGATCAAAGAATACATCTAAATGAGGTTTATACTTTTACTGGATTATGGAATAATTGCGGAGTATACATTTTCTTTTAATCTCTAGATATTCAATTCGGTTTACGGGTTTGACTTGGACCAATCCTAAATTATAAGGACCCAATGACTTCTTCTTGAACAAGGCAGTGAGGCAATCCTTTAATGGATTCAGGACAAAAGTACAAGCTAAAGTTGATTAAGTTGGTTGTTAACTAATTACCCGCCCTGATCTTTATTAGGTACTTTCTCTTTATTTTCATCAGAACTGGAACTAGAAACACATTGTCCCAGTTCCTCTTTAGATCTTATTGTTCCTCAAAATTACCCAAAACTGTCACATTTTCTCCAGAATGAGCCCACATATACCTTTGACACAGTATGAGTAATACAAATAATTTCTTCATTGCTATATTTTAAACCATTTTGGAAAGCATCTACTGTGCAAAAGTCTATAATAAGACAGGTGGGAGGCATTTTCCTTCATCAAGAAATAAAAGACAAAGAACGGAGGACCAAAACTTGGGCATTAATATCATGATTCACAAATTAACGTCATTCTTAGCTCCATCAGGCCCACGTCTTGTCCATGCCCTTGCGCCATGGTCCCCAGATGATGAACTCTATCAACTTTGGTGATCCCCAGACTATCCCGGTTACATTTGAGGTTTATAGTGAAATGTCTCAAAAAATAAATACAGCCTTGAACATTTTAGGCTGTTGTGCAGTGATCTTTATCCCAAAACATGTGTTGGGACCTTTCATGAAAGGTGGCACGGCAAGACCTGGATTTACCTCTAAAATTGTTAATTACTTTTCATCCTTACCACACCACTCCTACTATTTCAATAAAAACCTCCCTGTATTTTAAAGCCCTCCTTTAAATGTGCAGATAACTCATAATATCCTTGCAAGCATGTCTGAATAAGCCTTTCTTCCGTCAGTCAGTTCTCTGGGTTGAAATTAGACAGCGAGTCACATTCCAGTGTGGAAAGACCACAGGTACGAGAGCTGTTAAGGACAAAGGTAAAATCAGGATGGAAAAAGAGATGAACGTCAGCAAAGGAGAAGAACAACAAACAGTGAAGTGGTAAAGAAAAAAAACACACTAATGAGGAGACTATGGGGGCTCAACACTACTGGCTGCTGCTACTGTTGGTCGACTACAGCGCTCGGATTACAGGTACGCAGGTGGTGGAAGGTTTGGATAAGTGTGTGTGTGTGTGTGTGTGTGTGCTGCGGGGAATTGGAATGAGATGTGTCTCCTCATCTGCCCCCGAAATAACGTCCGGTTATTTGAGGACGTTTCGCCGTATTTTCTTAATGTGTGAGAGTGAGTCTGCGTGGGTGTGCGAGTGGATTCGCCTGTTCTGGGTCCACACTTGTGTCAACTTGTCTTCTCAGGAATGCTGTAAATAGGAAGCGTCATACAAAACCTGCTGATGATGTTGATGCATATAATCGTTAGGAGGGGCGGCAGTTAACACCTCATACACAGAGATGGGCAAAAGTACATCAAAATGTATTTTGAAAAAATATCCCCCAAATGAATGTATTAAAATAAATCACAAAATATTAGAGCCAGAATATGTAACAAACTGTATTTTGAATTTAAAATTTTCTTATGACTTTTTTTGTGGATTTTTTGTTTTTGCACAATGTGGTATAACAGAGCATTCAGATTTGGGCTATGTAATGTACACAAAGCTCAGTGCTCAGTCACAGAATGTCAGTGTAACTAAGCAACTAAGCAAAGCTACTAAAAAACTTGATTGAAAACAACTTGAAGATTCTGTATATATATATATATATGTATATATTTCTTTTATTGATGGCACTTAACAGCACATCAACTTTGTAGCTTGTGGCTCTGTATCAACAAGAATATATGTATCACATATGAATAGCATCACACATCAGGCCTAAGTATACTATAAAAGCAAAATAAAAAATCAGTTGTACACAGCTAAAGAGCCTAAATAAATTACTGTACATCAAGTTCTGCGCAGAAAAATCAAGAAAAAAGAAAAAATGTAAATAGTAAATCAACAGAAAGGTACACAGGTATCTTAACAAGTGAGTAGTCTAGTTACTTATCTTTTAAATATTATTCAGTAGCCTCGATTCAAATGTCTGGATAGTTTTTAAGGGTTAAAGATTTGTAAGTATTTTTAACAAGGACGCTGTCGGAACTAAAAGTTACCGACTCAGACCAAAAGCAAAAAGGCTGGAGAAGACTATAAGAGGATGTGGTGGATGGTGGATGCGGTCATGAACAGAGACTCACCGGAAAATTCAGCTATGCCTACATATCTGCTTATTTCATAATAATAGCAATGTATCTTCTGCGTAAATGTTAATTTCATTACGAGAAGCGGTTCAGAGAAGACAGTAAACCAGCAGAGCCAAAGTGGGCATCGTTGTCTAGTAACCCTGTGAGGTGTGAAGCTCTGTGCCGGTACTTGACCGTCTTCCTTTCCCCCAGGCTCTGTGAGTGGCATCAGTCCGTACATAAAGCATTACGAGGGCTTGTCGTACGACAGGGAAGATCTTCACAGGAAGCACCTGAGAGCCAGAAGAGCCTCGCAGCCTTATGAACGCACACTGCAGCTGGACTTGACTGCTTTCCACAGGTAACTTCATTGTTCCCTCAGCGCTGCAATTGTTTTAAGCACCACAGTTGCTTTCACCATAGTCGAAATAGTGGATAGCACACGTGAGCTCTCTTCTTGTTTTTGGTTTCACGCAGAACTTTCCGTCTGCATTTGAAACACAATTCCGAGGCGTTTGCCGAGAATGTCATCGTGTTCAGTGAAAATGGTTCCACGTCAGCTGACCTCTCCCACATATATTCAGGAACACTAAAAGGTGGGTATGGATGGGATGTCTGGCCATCTGGCCTTGGAAAAAGTTTGCCTATGACTCAAGTCTAGATTAATTTTTTGGCGACCAAGTTTTTATGTCTCTTATCTGTAGCCTGTCTGTACCTTTACCTCAGATGTTTCTGTTCACTTTCCCTCTCTGACCCTGACGTGTCGTCTCTGTTGACCTGGTCTTGCAGGTGAACACGGCTCCTGCCGCGGCTCAGTGTTACAGGGGCAGTTTGAGGGAACCATCCACACAGACAATGGGACCTACTACGTAGAGCCGGTAGATAGATACACCAGCAGCCCTACGGATCACCACTCGATAATCTACCACGAGGATGACATGGGTAAGACGAACTCCCGTTTTCCACTGTAGCTCAGCTGCTTTTTCTGGTCCTTTTATGATGAAAGCAAAAATGCTTTTAGACATTCCTTCTTGTTGTAGATCTCTGTCAACAGCCCTGATTCATGGCCCTCTTGGCAGTCACATACGAAGACATACAACTAAATCAAAATGCACATCTGTCCTTTATGTAACTCATCCTTATTGCTCAGTTCCCACACAGAATCCTTTCATTATCTGCGACAAAAAGCTCTATACAAACTCAGATTGCCAATGTTCAATGGATTATCTTTACCCTTGACTCCTAGTGAGATTAGAGTTACTAGATATATCAGCAGAATCTATTTAGAGCTTTGTGGGGGTGTTGCCCTCCTTGCATGGCACAGGTCAAAGACCAGGTAAACCGAGGGTTTGACCTGGTCCGATGGGGTGACTTTTGAGGGAGAGGGAGGAGAGAGTGATGCTGAAGTGATGGTGAAAGAATAGGGTTTAAGAGGTACCATGCAAGGCCAGGAGATGAATATAAGCTTTTACTGGAAAGGAGAGAAGGAGGCTGAAAGGAGATGAGGACGATCAGAAGGTAGAGGAACTTCCAGGTTTTGAAGAAGTTAGAAACTAAATCTTACATTTTCTACCCTCGTATGCTTCTCTAACTGCACATGAATACACATCGGAATAAGATAATTTCAAAGAAAGCATTTTCATTTTTGTCCACAGACGATAACTGCTTTCCTCACTTCACCTTCTTCGCCGTGTGCTTTCACTCTCAGGCCTGCATATCTTCAGGAAACTGTGAATGATTTGGCACATGATATTTCAATAAACAAACAATGCTTCCTTACAAGAGGTAAATGTGGACACACGGGGGCCTCACGTAATGCGTCTACTCCTGTGTGTACTTCCACTTCCTGTGGTTGTCTTCTGGGGGAAACATAGGTTGTATAACAGCATTTCTCTCCCCTGGGAGGTAGCATGACGTGAGGTCTCTCGGATCTGGGAAGGGGTCTTTGCATTCAAAAATTAAAGGAATGTTGTGGATATTTGAATTGAATCCTAAACAGTACACTTTTAAAAGTAAGAAGCCCCCCCATCACAATTCGTTTGAAGGGAGTAGGACAAGGAAAATCCTTTGATGGAGCCCAGATGCTGGAGATGTTGGTCAAAGGGATAAAAAGGAAACGTATGATGATCAGGATGGATTTGATAGGGCTGTGACGAGGCCTGACCCTAACATGACCCTGAAGTGTGTGACAACTACAATCTGGACTAAGCAGAACATTTTCCACCAAGCGGGTGAATTTGTTATTTACAAGCACAGGATTCACACTTAGGAATTTGTGGTTGAATAGATTAGAAGTGTAATTCAAGCAACGGGGTATTTACTGGTAAGGAGCGGTGTGCACACACTCTCATGGGCAGGGGAAAAAACACAGATCACTGTTATATTATATTTAGCACTTTAGCTAAGCAATTGGGCACTTAAGGGCACTTGACCTGACCAACCTGTCGCTTACGGGACACTTGGGCAGCGGCTTTAGGGCAGAAAATGCAGCAGATTTAAGGCGAGGCATTTCAATGCTCAATGCCTCTTTAAGTCGAGTGTTGTGGTTTGCCTCAGCAAACCTCAATGCGTGACTTTGAGTAAATGTTGATTCATGTTGGTGCTTTGCTCAAACATGCTTTCAAAAGGGATTAAAGAGGCTCTGGGTGGAGAAGTTGTTGTTTTTTACATTCCCCACAGCTGTCTGGACAGAAATGTGCCTGATTACTTTTTCATTTGGGAAATCATTTTCTTCTTTCTTACACCGATTCATCGGCAGTTAGTAATTGTAGGTAATCATTCATTAATTTATTGTGTTAGTTGTTTACAACCATTAATTATAATGTAGCATCATACATAAAATAGACCAGAAACGTGTATCTCTGGTAGTCTGATAGAGGAAAGAAACTGTAAAGAGGGAACAAGTACAAAGGTCTGGAAATGATTCTCCCAGTAGGTCCACGCCTGCCATTTAGTCCTCCACATTCACCTCAACCCCCCTGGCTCACCCCCCACTCGTGCATGCCATACATCAGATGAATTACTGGTTTGTGATTGGCTAGAGGACTTTCGTAGAATGGTGTGATCCAATCACGAGGTCTGTGTCAGGGGTCTTGTGAGATTGTATTGCTGCATGAGTGTGTCACTTACACATACATGCACATGCATCCATGAAAGACACTGTTTATTGGTCTTTAAGGTTATTATGGGTCAAAACATGGTCTGATTCAGTCATTCTTGTATTACTGCAAACAACTGCTTGTGTTTCTCTGCTGTAAATTGTCGAATTCAAAGCGACTTTTGTGAATAGGATTGTTGCTGGAATAGTTGGTTCTCTGCGGATTAGAAGGTTTTTGCGCTAAATCCCACTCAACATTTTTACAATATGTTGCAGCAGTCATTGCTTTACATTTTATTCTTTCTTCCATATTCATAGTGTAAGAATCTCCACAGCCCCTTATTTTAAATCTGATACACTGTTATTACTGTTACACTGATCCTCCTTTTGAAGGAATTCTGTGTGTTTCACAAGAAGGGCCAATTTATGCATTTGCAATTCCTTCCTTGAATGCAATCCAATCGTTACGGCATCAATGTGAATGATGAAGCTGTCCCAGAGGTGTTGCAAATTGAAGACGCCGATGTTGTTTTAATGAAAACGAGTGAGTTTTCCACAAGTCTCCTAAGACTCCCCCTCCAGACCACAATGCTGATTTCCAAATATTAGTCCTCTGTTCACTAAGGATCCGATTCTGATTGATTCCTGCACTTTAAGGAAAGGAGGGTTCAGTATGGAAAATAACACAAACACAAACCTTAAATCCAGAAAGACTCCAGGAGACAAGCTTAGGAATAATTTTGATAGAGCATCCGTTGGGAAAAGAAGAGTTGCACCCGATCCGACATCAAGCGCAGATATTATATCACTTACAAGACCTTTAAATGCCAGGAAACGTTATTAGGAAATATCAGATCAACACCCAAATCCTCTTAATTAGAATCTCTTAATTGATTTGTTGTTGTCTCTTTTCTGTTAAAAACTCTATTTAACGAATGTTCCCTTTATTTTCCCAAAGAAAATGGCCGCTTGGTTGGCCTTAAAAGAGAGAATATACCACCTGTAAAGTTTCAGTCAGCATTGTCGTTGCTCCAGCTTTTGCACACAACACACCGTTTCAGCACAAACACAACATGTATTTGTCCATCCTGGTCCACAAGCAGAGACATTGTGAGCAAATCTTACACAATGTCCTGTTTTCTATAACAAATAAACAGCAGCGTGTTGAACTTTAACCTACTACCGTTTCATCTCTATTAAATTATTTATTTAGATTGGCGAACGCTGTGTTATTCAGGACACCGTGCACTCACACTAAGTGAGTCACTGAAATGTTGCAAAAGTGTTCATTGACTGACGGAACATTTTCAGGGACAAGATTAAAAGGGACTGTGTGTCACCCTGCATCTTTGTGCGTGTTTGACTGAGGGAGAGTAGGACGGCACTTTGACCTGTTTGGTCATAAATTGTTTGCTTTTACTTTGCAGGATCGTGTATTCTGGTGTCAGGTCTGCCCTCTTTTCTCCCTGTAAAAACTGCTCTAACACGAGTGTGGAGGTTGATATTTTTCTCGTCCACAGCCATATATTCACTTACTTACACAGCTGAGTTTACTACCATCCACATCTCATCTCATTTTGCAACCTAGTTTACGTTTTGGTAAATAAATCATAGTTTAAGTGCATTTTTGGAGTCTCTGCCGTTGTTTTTTCTTATGGTGCTTCTTGTGACAAAAGACAACTAATAAGAAGATCAATTTCTTTATTAATTTACCTCAACATATGCATATATATTTTTATAAGTGTCTCTGCTTGTTTTGTTTTTTTGTAGTCCTGCCATCCATGAGAACTGGCCCCGGTGGATTCTGTGGTGCAGAACATCTGAGCCTCCTCAGCCAAAGCCTCAGACGAGATGAGGTAGTGCCGTCCTGACATTACCTCCTTTGATAGTCAGACAAAGACACACTGTCCTCACCCTCAGAGTATCCTCCCCTGTAACTCTATAAATAGAAGATTAATTTACCAGTGGGTCTGATTCATTTGTAAATATAACCGAGTAAACACATTTGTTCTTTTGGTTCCTTTTATTTATCCTGTTGAGTCACCGTGGGCACATTACAGGATTTTATTCCAACCGAAGGATGTGACAGAGGTGACATTTAAAAAAAGTGCCACATTTTCCAGCAGGAGTTGTGTAAAGTAGAAAGCAGCAGATTCAAAACCAGCCAGATTGACTGTGATTATGAAACTGGGTATGATGCAATAAACATCTGCCAAATCTATTCAGCTAATTTTCCCTTTGGGTATTTATTGTTAACCTTCGACCAACTAGGCGGTGGTCCAAATGTTCATTGTAAACAATGGATGTAGGGACATTGGTATGGATCCTGTTTTAGAAGCGTGTCTGTCGGTGGAGATCATTTCCACTGTTTGGAATGATCTGAACAGATGTTGTTCCAACTAAAGTGTCCATGTTGTGTTCTTATGTCTACATGTCCCAGGGGGACGTGCAGTGTCCCAGTAATAGTGGCATTGTGTTTTTATGTTTCAACATAGACACACTCAAGGCTTTTTGACCTCACACTTGCAAAATAAGGATGAATCAGTAGAGTACAAGCTGGTCATTTAGCATGATTAAAATCTGCCTTTTTACACCGTGTCCCCTTTAGAATGTGCTTAGGTGAATATTCTTCCTTCTTCACATCTCTGCCACGTCACCCACAGGAGGCACCAGCGAGCCGGGGCAGGAGAAGAGTGGATGAGTCAAAGACCAGCTGCCTGCTCCACCTCCACGCGGACCACCTCTACTACAACAAGTTCAAGTCCGTTCAAGCAGTTGTGGCTCAGGTTGAAATCTGTTCTCAACATTTACCTCGGCCTGACTTTGACAATACAAGGGATTTGTCCCTTTGGTGATTGGTGCAACAGTGTGTGTTCATCAGTGACTCGCACTCAGGCAACAGCTTTTCTTTATCTCCCGCGTTCTCCGACACCCCGTCAGGGTGATGCACTTACATGCTGCTGATGAGTGAGCTGCCCGTTGTTTGGGGACCCAGAGAACACGACGTACCGCGGAGCATTCCCAGTATGAACATACAGCGGCAGCATCAAAAAGCAACAGGATTTCATCAGCTGTTGGCGGTTTAAAACGTTTCAATGAGTAACGTGTCCTGGGCTTTGTGAACATGGGGCTCCTCACCTGATTGAATGACCTGTCCCATAATCTAACTTTGATGAAATAAGTGAAACTATATGCAGGTATTGCGTAGTGACCTTGATATACTGAACTAATATGCAAGACTGTTAACAGATGTTGTTTCGATTTTTTGAAAATCTCTGATTAGAGGAGTTTTTTTCTGAGGCTAATGAGGTGCGCTAATGACCAACATCTGACAACTGAAAGGAAACTAGAGGAAAACGATTTGTCTTCACCCACGTCTAGTTCACTATTTACCATTGAGATGTCCACGATACCAAAGAGCAAACTGTTGTTGCTGCGAGGCGGTATATGTATATGAGGTTCTGCGCCAGGTGTAACGGCCTGGCACGGGGGGGGGGACAAGCATGACTATGTGACCTTCTTCTCGGTGGAACCTCGCGGCCCCTGCGTGAACATTCAGCACGGAGCAACAACCCTGTGAGAGTTGCTTTTAATTCCCTCCGTGCACATTTAAGTAAAGTACTTTTGTTATTTCATTCTTACCCCCCCGTGCATTCTCGACATTTTACCTTATTACAGCGGCGAGACGTCTCAGAGCTTCGCTGACAAGAGGGCGGTGGGTGAAAAGGCATTATTTGGATCTTTTTATAGCACAAGTGCCACACAAACCAGAACTCACGGTTACAAAGTCGATGAGGAAGAACACATTTTTCGACTTCCCGTTTTGAACTTTGTTTTAGTGTCGGCTGACCCGCTGTGAACTCGGGCTTGAGTGACATACGGGAGTAGAAGATGCTTGCCTGCTGGCGCGCCTGCATTGCCTCAGTACCATCAGCAAGATAAGAGTCTTTCTGTGTTGAAGTTCCTCCGTCTGAACGAAGCGCTCGCCATTGGGGTCAGAGGTCAAATGAGACGCCATCACGTACTGATACAGGAATGCAGGTACATATTTTCAACACAAATCGTTTTGTCGGCGTCTGATCCGGGTTCAGTTTGAGTTTCACATCTGTGATGTTTTATAATTACATTCATGTGATCAAAGCCAGGTCAGTTGGGGAGTAAGTGCAGTACAACACTATTCTTCTCACCGGAGTCCTGTTGTCCGTCCTCACTTCCTCGGAGTCTTTCCAACTCAAACGCACACACACAAACACACACACAAACACACAGGGCCACGGTCGGTGGGCCAGACAGACGTTTGTTGCACCGGGTGAGAAAACACACTGTGAGTGATCTTTGAGTGTAAATAAACAAGATGCTGTTGTCAAAATCTCTGCTGCCTTCAGGCCTCTAAGATGTCAGTATTTGGATTTCGGTGTGATCCACACAGGCTTCCATGTGCGTCCATGTCCTCCTCTATTCGCTTTCTATGTGTATTTTGGGATGTGTGAATGTTTGTTCCACCCACGCCGGGATCACTTTGTAGATCACCTTACTTTAAGGTTTAGCTTACGTTGTCTGGTAATTACTCAAGATCAGAACGTATTCTTGGACAAACGGGCGGTTGGGAGACAGTCAAGTATGTTGTCGAATAGATAGAAAGCAAAATCAACTGTGGCCCTGAGAACTCAAGGAAACAAATGTTAACAGAGACGACATTTTCACCTGAGAGTACGTCCGAAACCCGAGCTGTCATTGATGCTTTTCTCCCATAAACGCAGGTTGCCTCCTACATACAAGCCGTGAATGACATCTATGACAAGGTGGACTTCGATGGGATTAAGCTGATCAACTTCAAAGTCAAGTCCCTCCGCGTAAGATCACTCTGCACTCGAGCATTGACTCGACTGTCATGATAGCAGGTTTTCACCACACGATTATTGCAGCCTAAATGATTCCAATGCTCCAATGTAATGAAGAAGATGATAATAATGATAATAATTAATGCGATACTCATCTTTAACTTTTCCTTTATTGTGTTTTTCTTATTTTTCCAAATGTATTATATTCTGAAAGGAAGTGTACGGAGGCTGAGGCCACATTATTTACACAATAATATCATATGCGTGTTAATTACATAACAGCTTCTTTTGTGAGCAGTTCTCTGATAACTCCATACGTACATTTTTTCCGACACAACCACTTTTGCATCGGATGGCGCGTCTACGCGCCAACTTCCTTGGAGGTGTGAAGGGGGAATGCAAAGCGAGCTCCTTGTCTCGTCTCTCTCTCTCTCCAGGTGGCGACGGGGGAAGATGAAAGCGACCCTCTGAACCCTCTGTTCATCGGGCCGGAGAAACTCTTGAGTCTGTACTCTGAGAACAACTCGGGCAACTTCTGCTTGTCCTACCTGCTGACTAACAGAGACTACAGCGGACTGCTGGGGCTCGCCTGGGAGGGCAAAGCCGGTGAGTCGGACTCACTGCGACAGCAATGCACGGGAATCACAGACGCACTCACGCAGACTTCATCAATACGGGGATTTTACTTTTCATTTGATTCAATAATGTGGCCTTGGAAGAGGGTCCGGGGGGTTTAAACTTTTTACTGTCCAAACGTCTTAAAGCTTGGAGAGTATATACTGTTATGTTTGGTCATATATCATGGAATTAGTACATTTCAACAACCTTAAAGCTACTTTATGTATGTTAAATACCTAAACCTAACACCCCTGATCCTAACTCTTGGGAAAAAGGTTAAAAAAGAAGAAGAGTTGCAGTAAAAATGCATGTCAGCCTTGATTGAATGATGTTGTGAGTGGCAGAAATGAACAGCTTTTACTTACATGCTTTTCTACAAGCAGTGTTTTGATTTCAGATACAAAGTTACGTAATTTATTTTTAAATTTCAAATGTACAGAAAAGATCTTGTTGACATGTCATATTTACAAAAACAGAAGACGAGTAAGCTATAAATATAAATACACCCTTTGACTGAAAATACTGCATAACATTTTTTCCTGTTTTTTTTCCATCATGCTCTTGTCAACGGCGTACCGTTATAATTTAGTAAAGGGACGACTGTGTTACAAAATATCATAGAAACTCACAAAGCTTTTCTGACATTTACCAAAGAAAACTGTTCTTTATTTACTTTACCATTTGAAAAACATCCATATTTTGTGAATTTGGATGGACCTTCTCAGTCAATTTCTATATTTAGAGCTTTATAGTTCCATCACCTAAATATTCTGATTAACTACAACGTAACTAATATTGTGCGTTTATCAGCTCCGGTGAAGGACAACCTGTGTGGAGTGCAGTAATGTGAAGGAGGAAGCTCAACGCGTATGTTGTAATTGTTGTTGTCGGAGGTTCTTCATTCATGTTTAAATTACGTGCACTCAGGCTGCTGCGTTATGATTGGCTAAACTGGGGGGTGTGAGACCAGACCGCCACAATGGCATGAACCTTTGACACACAAACACACACACACACACACACTGCCAGACGTTTTATTCAGGATTTCTGACTGCATTCCACAGCCTGATCGCCATGGTGAAATCTCACGTGAGGCGATGACATTGTCGTTACAATATCTAATGTCTAGAACTGGTGGACAAATCTCCAAGTTTTTTGATGACGTTACAGTGCAGGTAATCTACCTTGTAAATATTTATGTTTTGCAGTGATACCAGGTCCACCATTAACTTGGATGATTGTTATCTGTCTATTATACATATTTACTTGATGAGTGTGAATCAATAAAACAAGTTGAAAAAGTAGCATTAGCGAGTAAACCCTATCAAATCCTGCAAAAGTCCTACTGAAATGTGTATTGTGAAGGTCAATGAACTCAAACAAAGAGGCCAGTGATGGAAATTCATCCGCTTCAGTTGTAATACAGTGAGCACATCCACCGTACTTTTACGGTCAGTGTTATTAGCGGTCAGCTCCCTCGCTTTGTCTGTTTTTGTTGTTCAAGGTGTTTTTAGACCCGGACCCCCCCCCCACTTGTATACCCAAAGGAGGGTTGCCCCTCACCATTGTTTGTCTGCTCGTACTAAACCGTGAGAAGTTGTGCGCTTCTATATGTTTGTTTATGACGTTAAGTGAAACTCAATACCACTCGAAGTGGATGTTACAGTGCGTACTTTCCTCCTTCTTAATGCGCGGTGTGTTTCCTCCTGACAGCGAGTGCGTGAATTACATGAGAGGGATCCGCAGGGTCGCTCGTTTCTCTGGACTGTGTTTTTCCAGCCAGCTAATAATAGGAGTCTTTCATCGGGACTCCTTTTCTGTGGCGGAGACGAGAGGGAGGAGGGGATCAAATTGGCGCTGCCAAAAACCACAGAGGAGTCCTCCAGAGTAAGCTCTTTCTAGGAAACCCGGCTCCTCGAATAGACCGCCGGGGAGGCCATTTTGGGTCAGGAGCTTGGAATGCGGGAAAGATGAGTCCAGAATTTTTGGATTAACAGCTTGTGGATATGAAACTGATCCCTTGAGACTTTTAGCGGTGGGGAGTACAGACAACGATGACATTTCCCTGAAGCTGAAACAGATTAAATCTGCTGTTTCTGTATGTGCTTCATGGCAAAAGTGGACATGTGATGTCCAACGCAAAGGGATACAATAAAGTAAAATGGTTTTATAATAATCGTTTTATTTTATTTAGGGATTTTTCTCAGTGCTCAAAGACGATCTACACTGGGCAAAGACAAACAGAACAAAATAAAATAGAAGGACAAAGGAGCAAATAAACCAAAATTTTGGTTAAAAGAAGCGGTTTTATTTTGTAGTTATCTGCCTCTTGTGTCCCTGGGTTACTTCACTTCCTGCCTTGTCCTGTCATCCCCTGTGATTGTCTGCTGTGTCTCTGATTGTCTCCACCTGTGTCCAATCACCTGCACCGTACCGGTGTATTTAAGCCCTGTGTGTCACGTGTCCTTGGTTGTGTCATTGCATGTCATGCCTGGACGGCATTCCCTGAATGTCTTGTGAGTTCCAGGTCCCGTCTGCGTTTTTGCCCCTTGGCATTTTAGATTTTGACTCAGGCGTTTGAGTCCTGTCTCTGCCTCCCCCGTTCCTGACAGACAACTCCTACTGAAAGTGGGGCTGAATGTCTTTAACAGACGCACACCTCGCAGGCCTTACGCCTCGAGGTGTTCGTGTTACATGAAAGGAGCCTGACTGCATGTGAACCGCTGAGACCTCCGACCTGAAGCTCACGTGTGCGTGAATGAATGAAGACAAGAGAGGATGGACACATGGGAACAAGTTCCATTGTAGCGGACTGAAACACTTGTGTGGAGAATAAGTGCACAAAACGGTGATGGAAAAGCTTGAATAAAAATGGCTGTATTGTGTTTTATTGGCCTTTATATTAGATGTATATAATTTAAGATGGCAATCCAGCCACCAATCCATGTGAATGTAGCCATCCATCCATCCATCCATCCATCCATCTGAATGCTTTCATGTGAAAGTAAGCTCAGCAGGTTTGTCGGTCCGTCCGTACGTACCTCCCAGCAGGGGGCCTCAAATCTCATCAACGCTTCAGTGGCTAAACAATGTTGGTTTAAAGTATTTACAGTAGCACGACAGCAATCATGCAACCATACTGTAAGTGAGAAGGGGCATGTTTACAAGCGGTCTGACAAACTGCTTTTTCTATACGTCATATTTTCATTTAATCTACACAACATCACTGGCAACCCAGGTCCGTGTTTATCCTTTTCCATCTGTTTTCCACTTCAGGTAACTGGGGAGGAATATGTTCAAAGCGGACCACCCTGCGTGACGGCCGGACCTCCACCCTGAACACGGGTCTGGTCACAATACAGAACTATGGACAGTTCCTGCCTCCTCGCCACGTCCAGCTGACCCTCGCTCATGAGCTCGGCCACAGCCTGGGATCCCCGGTCAGTCGCCGTCACAGAGAAAAATATTTCAAAACAGCGGCCTCATACTGAATGAAAAGTGGCTCTTACAAAAGTGCCTCCATCCAATCAACCGCTCATGGTTACAATTAATGTTGCACACACTTTGTCCCATCGCATTCACCTGATAATGGGAATTTAAATGGATATTTTTGTGCCCTTTACTCATGTAATATTTAAAAAAGTTTGAGTCCTGATGGGCAGGTGGCAGCTTGCATACAGCCCCTGCCCTCAGTGTATGAATGGATGGGAAAGGGTGAATAATGAAGTGTAGCGTTGAAGCTCTTTGAGTGGTCAGAAGATACGAGTATTCTACAAGTTGACATCCATTTACCAATGGCTTTAAAATCTTTTTTCACAGGCAACAGTTTACTTATTTTCCATTGGAGGATGTTCACAGGTCTAATACCAGTAACTATGGTGGCATTGCAAAGTGTTTAGGATCCTGCTATTGGTTAATCAATATAGCCATGAACAACATGTTATTAGTTACACCTGTGATTTTTGTTGTTGTTTGCATTTCAGATGTTTGCTAAACTTGATCAGTTTTACTATGACCCACCTCCGGCGTTTTCAGTTTTACACCAGCCTGCGAGGGTTGTGTACTGAATGATAATTCAGCCTGATCAATCCCTGTTCAACATGTAGACCTACCTCGCGTAATCTCACACGGCATACATGGTTGTTTGCACTGCACCGCAACAAATTGGCCTGTGAATGATTCACTTATGTGGGCCTTAGTGACCTTGGCCTGCGGTGACTGGTTTGTTTCACAGATACTCTTGGCTCTGCCTCGCTTGATAATCGGAAATAAGACAACAGGAGGGAAACAACGTTTGACACAACGTTGTACACAACGTTGTTTTCGTTTATAACCTCTACTCCCACCACAGAGCTGATATAAAAACACACCCATTTTTTGGTGTGGACACCCCCCGCACATTTCTCTACAATGCGAAAACAACAGAGATGGTAGTTGTGTGTTGTTCATTCCCCACCCACGCACAGGCAGGAGAAGGCACGGGTGTATATATATATATACATATATATATATATATATATATATATATATACATATATATATATATATATATATATATATATATACATATATGTTTGTGTATATATATATATATGTGTGTATATATATATGTGTGTGTATATATATATGTATACATATGTGTGTGTGTATATATATATATATATATGTGTGTGTGTGTATATATATATATATATATATATATATATATATATATATATATATATATATATATATATATATATATATATGTGTATATATGTATACATACATATAGACGTATAATTTTATACAACTTGTAAATAGTTAAAAAGATAAATGCTCAACACAAAATGCAGAAATGTGATTAAAAGCAAAATCATTATATTTAGAAAAGATTTGACTCCTTTATGGATTTTTTTTATCCTAAAAGTATTTTTTGGTCGACAGGAAAAGTTAACATTGATGTTAGGAAATCTGTCAATTAAGTCAATGTAGTACCAGCAGTACTGCGCTGCTTCCCGCTGTTTCTGTTGTTGTCATGTCTGCAGCAGTACATTTTATTTACATATGAAGTTCATAAAAATGTGTACACTAGTATTAAAAAGTTATTTTCTGACGTTCCAGCACGACGAGGGCTCCAGCTGCGGGAACCTGGGCTCCAGCGGTGGTAAAGGCAGGTATCTGATGTTCCCTCATGCCACAGACGAGGTGCGTGAAAACAACGACAAGTTCTCGCCTTGCAGCATCGAACACATCAGCAGGGTGCTGAAGCTCAAGAAGGACGACTGCTTTGTGGGTGAGGAAGAAAATATCAGACGGCCGCCCGAATGTTGGGGACCAGATGTGTGCATTAGTCGCTGTAAATAATTACACATTCTTTGCGTGTTTACGTGCGTGTGTTTATCTGCTCTTTCTGGTCAGTCAGCGATCAGCCCATCTGTGGAAACCTGATTGTGGAGGAGGGCGAGGAGTGTGACATTGGTCACAACGACACTGACCTCTGCTGCTTCAGCGCTAGGCAGCCTGTAGGAGTCCAGTGTCGCCTCAAGCCTGGTAAAACCTGCAGGTACGGCAGAGTCGCGTTGAAATTTAAACATTTCTACTGACAAAAGGCTGCATCTGCAAGTATTATGTTGCTTTTGCATCTTCTCTGTGCGTTTTTTTGTTTTCGATGTGGCTCTCGTGCTCATCTGCTCCCCCGGCAGTCCGAGCGGGGGCCTGTGCTGTGGTCAGGACTGCAGGTTTAAGTCCGCGGGGCGGACCTGCGACGAGGAGACTGACTGTCAGAGGGCGAGCGAGTGTTCGGGCTTCTCCCCTCTGTGCCCCATGCCGAGCGCCAAGGACAACCTCACGGAGTGCAGTCAGGGCACGCGTGTCTGCATGAGCGGGGTGAGGCAGCCACGTCGCCGCGCGCTTCAGCCGCATTGCCCAACGAGCCGATGTGTGCAAGGGAACAGTGGTGTTGCAAAGCTGGTCCTGAAGAGAAATAAATCACGATTGGTGTTTCAGAGTTCAGTCTTGACAGTGGAAAAAAAAAACAGTCCCTTTGGTGTTTTTTGTGGAGCTTTTAAAGTTTGCTCTATTGTCAATTCACTCTTACAAATTAAAACAACTAAAGTGTGCTTTGTTGCACCTGTAACCGGTTCTACTTCTCCCTATATTTCATATATCTAAAAAAGTTCCAATCTTTCTAAGGGCTGTGATGTCTTCTTCTCAACAAGACCTCTGTTTCTCTGTGCAGGTTTGTGCAGAGTCTGTGTGTGTGAAACACAGTCTGCAGCAGTGTGACTGTCCAGGAGACTCGATGAAGGCGAAATGCCACATGTGCTGCCAGCAGCCCGGTAACCACAGGCCTTGTGTCCTTTACCACGTCTGTGTCAGTTTGTACTGAGGTTACTGTTATTAGATGACCTCAAAACCATGTGAGACGATTGTCCGTGGAGTCTTTTAGTCAAACTACTTTGAATATCTCATTTTCATGTGGTTGTGCAGGATGATTTATTGCAAATAAGTCTGATATTGATGCTGTAATGGAATTTATATAGAATATATGCTACCCAAGCTTTTCATTTTGTTATGTATACATACATCTAATGTGTTGCAATGGCAGATAAGCCTGAGACCTGTGCCAGCACCACCTCCTCCGTGCTGTCCCGTCACTTCCAGAGGACGTCGTTGCCGTTGGTCGGCGGGGCTCCGTGCTCCGGAAACCAGGGATACTGCGACAAATTCCACGTGTGTCGTCTGCTCGATGCGGACGGCCCCATAGCGAGACTGAAAAACTCTTTCCTCCGTTTGGACGACTTCGAAGACATAGCGGAGTGGATGAAGGTGAGGGCTCCGTGTAACACATGAGAAACCCAGCAACATGTGAACCGACGATGTTCGACGCTGTAAAGGAGAAGAACTGCTGGATGACATCACGAGTCACCACAGTGGAGCACTCAGCAGCTACAGAGCCAGACATTCATTCAGGTTTACTTACAAACATTAAAGGGGCTAAATTCACATTTAGAGCACATTGAATCCACGCGGCTCTCAACATGGTGACATGTTAGCTTGCTGCAGAACTAACGGTGCAGACACATGGCAACGGTGCTGGAGGCGCTAACAGCGTTTACCTGAGGGGGGGGGGGGCTACGCTCACATGCACTAAAAGGCACATTCAACGCGTCAAGCGATGCCAACAGAGCGTAGCAAAGCTTACATTGCAACACAAAGAGTGACTTATTCGCCGCAAGAGCTTTGGCTACTCCTTTGCTCAGCAAATAGCTGTTTTCTGCTACATTAAATGATTAAACTAGCAATAGTTTAATCATTAAACATTAGTTTATGCGGTGTAACATAAGTTTTTGTAGCACTAGCTGCTCGCCCTTGTTCCTATAATCAGTGTTTTCAGATTATTTTTAAAAGCTAATACCAGACTTTAATAAGTTATTTTGCTTTCGTTTGCTACTTAAAAAAATGGCATTGTGTTATTGTACACAGACATACTTCCTATGCTGATGTCCAGCTGTCTCCGATGTTTCAATCATAGCTGCCTTTGCAAATTAGTTCCTCGTGACAGCGTGGAGAATCAGGAATGCCAATTTGGGTGAAAGACCAGCGATACGTTTTACTGGAGACACAAGTTCGCCCTCAATTTGGTTGTTTCACCACACCTACAGCACACACCAATGCTCTAACGTGTTAGTCGGCTGCAAAGTAAAAAAACATGAAATCATTCCAAGCAACGTTTTTTCATCACAAAACATAAGATTAGTTATTCGTAACTCTGAGAGATCAATGTAGAAAATGTGGAGAAATGATTGGATAAACATTTTGAGTTTTGAAATCATCCCTGCAGTTTACTGTACACGACAATAGATCACGAAAAAGGCAGGTTTAGAAGTTCACACAAGAATAAGACGGATGCCAGTAATTAATCAACTTAACACTAAATAGAACCAGATTCGTTTGCCAAGCATGTGTGACTAAAAGGAATTTGATATTGTTTTTTGATGTCGTTACACATAAAGAAAAGAAGAAAAAAAATGCAACGTAACAAATACAAGAATATAAATATTTCATGAATATATATTTAAAGCACCAATGTCGATTAATGTAGTTCAAAATACATTTTTATATACAAGTAATGTATTCAGTCATCTAAGATTGAATGAATAAGTCACAGCAAAGATCTGCAACGGTTTTGATTATTGTTTCAGCTAGAGAAAAAAATATTTAAAATATTCTGTGGTTTGAGTTTTTCAAATGAGATTTCTGAAAACAAGAGGAGGTTGAGCATTGAGTTTTGGGATGTTATGTCAATTTCAGTTATTTGTTGTGTATCTTGTGACCCCCAGCGAGCTGCTGCAAGCTGAGGACGTGGGCGGACTTTTCTAATTCAAATCCACTGTAATCCAAATGTGCATCTAACATTCTTGCTTTTCCGCTGCAGGCTTATTGGTGGGCCATCCTGCTGGCTATCCTGGCCCTATCTGCAGGGATGGGCTGCACCGTCTGCCTCTGCGGCCACAGGCTTGACGCCGGCGACCTGGAGTGACCTCTGACTTCTGGTCGTCGCTGGAAATATCCAATATTTTAATTCAAGCCACGCAAAGTCCTTGGTATTCATTCAACTGGGAGTTTTGAGTCACATTGAAGAGATTGAACTTTGTTCCGAGTGGCGTGTGGTCTGCAGGCGACCTGCTCTCAACGCCTCTCGTGCTCATTTGGTAACAGATATCTCTGAAAAGCTGCTGTGTATAAAGAAGTTAGAACTACTTTAATTTGTCAAGCACATTTAACTGATAATACTTCCGCTACCACCAACGGTCCACGTGACATAAATAAAAGGTTTATTTGATGTTTTTTCTAAAGCCGGCTCGATCGTGTGTATCTCTTCGTTCACATGGCGTCACAACTTCAAGGACGTGAAGAAATTTTAAGCTTATTTTTGAGTTTAACATTTCTTAACACTTTCATATCAAAAGCAGACGTGAGAGACGACATTGTAATCAAAATGCTTGGATCCCTATAATCTACTAACAAGGAAACAACCTTGTGCTGGCAAGAATGAGCAATCACAATGAAACCTTTTCATGATTGTAAAGTTTATTATTGTTTTTCAGTCACAACTTGATGAATAAAAGTCAGGCTCAGGGTGGCCACTCAAACGGCGGTTTTGGTTTATTAAAGAATATATACCGTGCAGTGAAGATTTACAAATATGTACAAAGTGGATTCATTTTACAGATTCAATTAATCCAGACATAAAAATATATAACAGTTTTCCAAACAACCAAATGAAACATTTGTACTAAGATATTTACATAACTCTACAGGTAAATGGGATTAATAATCTCCCTGGTTTTCAGTGCAAACATTTCTGCAGTAGTTGAAGATGGAGACCCGGTGATCACGGTACCGATGTCAACAAGTCAAGTTTAGATTCTGCTCCCAGAAATGGAAATGTAAGTATGAACAAAATAGCGTTTGTCGTGATTTAAAAGGTAAAATGCACAGAAGGAAACTGCAGTCAAGAAAAACTCGCCACAGACAGTATAACAAAAGGACTGTATTGATAATAACTCCCACTGAGCATCAATAAAACCTTAATAAAGGTTGCATAAGGTAAGTTGCATGTTTGAGGTAACGGCATATAAGTGGCATTTTACAGAAACGTAAAATGTTTGAATGTTATTAATCAAAGACATAAGCTTGATCTGCAGCCGCCGGTCTGCAGTAAGGCACACTGTTACAGGTCCCACCGTCACGTACAGTGCAGCGAGCCACGGTGGCGAATGCTGCGCCAGGAAGATAATACATAAATAAACTCAAAAGGAAAAGTCATCCTAACGGCGATGAGAAGAGCCTGCAAGGTTTTATTCTGCACCGTCATATGAGATTTAACTCGAGGTATTTCTCAGCACATTACCAACTATTAAGGTAAATAAGCATCTCTCTGACGTGACCGCTATCCATCTAATTGATAATTACGGCTAGTATGAAAAGCAAGCTATGCATACATATTTTACAGTATTCACACACAGGTTTTATTTTTAAATAACCAACGTCCTTTAAAAGGCATATGAATCAAAAAGTGCTGAAAGGCATTGGACGATGGATTCTTTTCCCCAGGGTCAGCGTTTCTTCTCATTTCCTGTGGAGAAGGAAGTTTATTTTGAAAAGGCACTGTTTACCTCTAATGGGGAAGAAGGCATCGGGTACTTTACCTTTTCAAAGTTCGTCTCTGGTTTCTCCTCCACGCACCCTTACATTTAACAAATGTGACTTCTTGCTGGAATTTCTGAGCTTCATTGTCTTTTACACAGAACACCATCCTGAAAGAGGAATTCATAAAACACAATCCATCTGCATTAGCGCTTCATCCACTGAAAATGGGTATGAGTATTTAGTTCTATATAAGCTTCTCTCTCAATGTAACGTATCTTACTTTTGTTGGGTCTCGCCTGCTCGGATGCGGATCTTGTGAACCTCCATGTCGTTGCTGTCTGAGTCACCGGACCACCAAGAAGAAACCATCTTCAACATGTTGGAGGCTGACCAACCGTTTGTCTCCTCCCATCTAAACTTCAGCATCAGCAGATCTCCGATATCCTTCTCCGTCACCAGCAAGAACGAGTGGGTCTTGTTCGTTGCTATCTTCTCCTTTCTGCCAAAGAGGAAATAGAGAGAAATGTTAGTGTTCTCCTTGTAGCCTGCAGTGACGTTTTATTTAGCCGAGCCTCATAAACGCTGCACCGTAAACCACGACGTAACCCCACTCAGCCGGCCCGAATGGTGCCAAGTCTGCGGTTTATGAAACTGTTTACAGTTTCACGCTGTTTCCTTTGAAGCACGGTGCGACTTGTGCAAAAGAACTCGCGACCCAACAAGCAACAAGTCACGGTGCTGCTCTTCTTCTCCTTTATTCATAGATCACCCACTCACAGTCTAAGCTCCAGGTCTTCGGCCTCTCCTTTGGTTCCGTGCAGCGAGACGGTGAGCGACGGCTCCATCTCTGAACGCTTCACCTGGCCGGAGAAGTGGATCTTCAGCTGGTAGTGGTAAACTGTGGAGAGAGAGAACATTCCGGTTGACCACCTCCGCTGCGGCGTATTCCAACGCGGAACAGCACCGGCGAAAACAAGCCCCGCTGCTGGTTGAGTCCACCAACCTCGGAACGGCATGGAGGCCCGGGTCCTGGTGTACATCTGAACGCTGCCCGCCTGGCGGACCCTGCTGACGCCGTAGCCCACCGCGTTGCAGCGGCGTTTTCGGCAACAGAGACACACGCCGCGGTCGAACATGTCGCTGCTGCCGCATCGGTAGGCCACGGCTGTTTCCCGCTCGTTCAGCAAGGAGTCGATGAACAGGTGGACCGAGCGCTCGTGTTCGCACTTCACCGCGTCCGTTACCGCTGAGGAGGAAAAGGGGGGGGACCGCGTTACGTGCGCGCATGCATAACTACGTCAGTGTGTCGCTTTAGCTCGTTTGCTCACTGCAGTTGTAGCCGAACTATCGCCAGCCTCTGACTATTTTCAGCACGCAGTAAATAGGGTCATTGTGCAACTCGCGGAAACAAAGTTCCAGTGGTGTTGTAGCTTCTGGACAACAAACTCTACGTGTTTCTACTAACATTCACATGACGTTGCCCTTGTAACCTGTTTGCAGCATCGTTGTCTAAGAATTGGTTATAGTAGAGCAGCAGAGGGGTGGATTCGAGTTGGATAGACTTAGACTTGGACTCAAGTCCGACGTGACAAAATCAAAACAGAGAGTCAACTTAACGTTAACGCCGATGACGTGATGATCACACGTAACATGAGCCTAAAGTTGGAAAAGAGATAGAATTACAGTCATTTAGTTTCTGTAACTAAAGATTTTAGTTATTCTCACCGAATATCCCCAAGTTAGCGATCTTCTCCAGGGCCCCTCTGAGGTTGCAGCCCGGCTGGAAGTTCCCTCCGTTCGGGTAAATGTCGATGTGGCCGACGGGCTGTCGGATCCCGATGCTGAGACCCAGGGAGCGCCGCGTGAAGGTGTGGAGGACGTCCACAAAACGAGCGTCGTCGGGGGACAGACGCCTGTGAGCATGCTTGCCCTCAAAGTCGGGACCGGCCGGGTCCAGACCTGCGGAAAGAGACGGACGACAGTGAAATAAATAACCAAATCGACTCCCAATTAATTAATTGATTGCAGTTAAACTGCGAGATGTGTTGTGACGAATGCCGTGTCGTGAAGGTTTTGTTTACCAGTTATTCTTCCAACTTTATTAGTCGCATGGCTCCCGGCGAATCCTGCCACATGGGCCCCGAGGCTGTAGCCAATCAGGTGGAGGTTCTCTAGAGGCATGTTGGTGGTTTCCTTTAACCAACCAAGTGGTTTTGTTAAAAAACTGGCATAAAAGTCACCAGTACAAATATGAAAATGAATAGCTAGTTTAGCAGACATGCTCTTGTAAATGGAAAGTACTGTTTTGTAAAAAAACAAACAGGTTTTCTTCCTTTACCGGTAAGTGAAAAAAAAACATGTGACTACTTCATCAGCCTCTTGCACACTGACCTCGATCCAGTCGATGAAGCGAGCGACCTCGCGTCCCACTTCTCTGGTGTTCTGAGCGGCGACCGCGTAGTGGTTCTGTGCCGAGGCGAGCCAGTCCACCACCACCACGTTGGCCGTCTCCTCCCTGGCGTAGAGAGCCGAAACCAGCTTCGTCACCCAGCTTTCAAACATGCCACTCAACTGTTTAAAAAGAAACACGGTCGGAAACTCTCTGATGCAACAACGTGGTGGCTCCTGGTGAAAGTGGTGAAAAGCGGCACCACTCACCGTCCATCCGTGGATCACCAGGAAGGTCTTGGAGGTGCTGTTGAAGGTGCAGGCCGCCAGGGAGTCAGGTTTGCCAGGAACGATGTAGCACAGGTCATCGTCGGGGCGGGAGGCTTTGCGGAGGGAGAATTTGGCGGCCGGTTGATCGCCGGCATCCTTGTGCTCAAACAATTCCGTCAGGGGGTCGAGTAAGTTATCTGACGGACGAGACAAAATGTGAGAGGAGAGAAGAGAAGAAATCCCTCCGTGATGCCGGTGTTTTTGTCAGATGTGTGAGGCTGATCTGAAGGTCTCCAAGACGGCTGACTAGCTAACGGAGTAAATTGCTCCGATAAGACCGTGGCCCCTCGGGGGCCCCACAGTAAATGCGCTTCGACAGGATCCGTCCTGAAAGGTTACAGGGGATCACTTGGTCGGGCTCCATGGAAACCAGCAGGGAGCTTTTCCCAGCTTTGTTCCTGCCACCTCACCGGCTATAATCTGTGCAAGTTTCAGGGCTCTTGGCACAGTCAGCTGACTCAACTCGACCAGGGGATGTGCTGGTTTTCAGAGTGTGTGGGGGGGTTGAAAAACATATTTCATTGAGAAAAACGTAAAGCTGGATTTTTTTGCAAAAAGCACAAAGGCAACCACAGACGCGCCATTCGCAGTAGCCTATAAACAATCAACTGTATCGTCAGTCCAATGTTTGCACACCGATGCGCGTAAATTACACAGAAATATCCTCCACAGTCCCGTGACAGTGGAAGGAAACCGGCCGCTCACCAAAAATAGAACCGGTGCGCTTTTCTTCCAGAGAAGTCACGTGCTGCACAGCTGCATTCAGCGCCAGAAAGTACAGGAGCCGAACTCGCCACACTTTCATAGCTTTCTCAGCCTCTTCCTGCGGGAGAAAAAGGTCTCGGTCAATGAATCGGATCGATGGGATCTCGTGTTCCTTCCTCCTCGGGATCACTCAGTGCGTCCTGTTGCGCGCGGAGCGCTGATATCTGAACCACCTTGAACTTTTCCGTGTCTTAAATAAGCACCTCTGACAAGTCATTGGCTGCAGAGCCCCGGGGCGGGGGGGGGGGGGGCTGGAAAAATATGTGTTTGTAAAATCATCAGCAGAAGAATTCACAAGGCTGGTTGGCAGGGAAGGCTCATTAAAACCGGTACGAGGTAATAAACATGTTCCTAACGTTTGTGTTTCAGTCAGCAACACAGAATGCTGCCACTTCATGTTGGGACAATTACTTAATTGCATTACTGTTTGCTTAATGCATTGATATATTGTTTGAATGATTGGCTATAAGAAAGGACGATACAATTATTCATACAGCAAATGTTGAACACAATTATGATAATAATGTAATGCAAGAAATAAGACGATAATTTAAAAAAGAATTCATGACATTTAAGATGAACAGCAAGTTTGACAAAAAGGAGTTTAATAATGATTATAATAACTTGATTCATACGGCACTTTTTTAACTTCAGTGCATCACAACAAGAAACAAATTGTTGACCTAACTATGAAGTACAATAAATAAGGCGGCCCATGTAGTGAACCTCTGGCATCGGCCATTCTATTCTTCTGCCAGCTGCACTTCACAGCACTAAAACACGTGTGACCTTGGTCTGCGGCGTGCAACATGCAAAGCGACTGTACATTCTGTCCACAGATTAAACCAGAGGTCATGAAGGTCATCAGTGATTAGTCTACCTGACACTCCAGGAAGCCTGGCGGGGACATAAGAGCCCCTTTAAGGCGACGCGGGGCCCCTTGTTACTTATCTGCTGTCATAGAGAGAGAGAGAGAGCACAAACCTGCATCAAGCAGTAGTCATTATAATTTTAATTGTGTGTGCTGAAAGCATGTGAAGCATCAGTTTTTTTTACTATTTTTATTGTTGTTAAGAACACTGTCATTGACTATGCTTCGTAGGATATTAAAACTTAACCGATTTCGCAAGAAAAAAAGTACTATTTTAGCTTCAGGTATCCTCAAGCAGAGACGAGGAGGCAACCGCGGTCTTTGAAGTTAACTTGTTTCTTTCTACACAACCTCAGATTTGTTTCACATTCAAACAGCGAGTCACAAAAGGCCACATACAAAATGAAATACTCCCACTCAAGATAAGGTATAAATATCAAGTCTTGATATTTAGTAAATTGTGTTAAAACAAGTTACCATCTCAAGGGAAAATACCTGTAATCAAGATCGGCAACATTTGTATGTTGTGTGTGTTAAAATTTGTAATTGTTGTCACCACGCAGTCAGAGACGGCTATTACAAAAATTCCATAGTTTCCAATGAACTCTGACCTTTGCCCCATTGCATGAAGCAGCTTACTCACTGTGGGTTAAAATGTTGTAGGTGCCAGCTGGGGGATTGTGTGCTAACGTTTGGGAAAGACTACTTGGCTTCATGGTGGATATTTTGTTGCCTAAAGCTCCAAGATACCAAAATAAGCAAGCAGAGGATAAAACTACAGAAACTCCCTCAACATAGTTTCCACAGAGTTTGTTATTAGGCTTGTTCCTGAGCTGGTTTCCAGGTACGGCACGTGATCACATGTCTGATGTTGTGATGATGCTTCTTGTTGGTCCTAGACAAACACACGCCTTTGTGAACCCGCACAGAGCCACGTACGGTCTGTGCAGGCTGCTTTTCCTCTGTAGCCCAACATGGAACAATTTAAATGGGAGAAAACATTTTTGAAAGTCAGGTCGACATTTGATTTGATCAATTCTAAACTTTATGACAGGATTCAGCTGAGGAGCCGATCAACATTTCAAGTGTCATCTTTACTTTAGCTTACAGTTCCCAACCTTTTTCTTAACACCTTTCCTGCCTTGGGCATCTCTTCCAAAGGAACTAATCCACAAACTAAAGTAATCAAGACATAATGTTTTTCTTACTGTTGAAGGTGTTACGTAATATGTTTTGAATTTCTAGCAAAGCCGGTTTAGTGATAACAACCAAGTCTAATCCCGTACGGTTGAAATATGTTGGACGTGGGTTTCGTCGGGTGATCGACAGCGACCTTTAAGTTTGACGAGCGCGAGTGTAAACCCAGATGTAAGTTTCATTTAAAAGACAATGTGGCATGTCGTGTTAGAATCATTTAAAAGTACCCGAGTTCATTCGTTTTGGGATTAGATTTCTCAAAAGCTTCCACCAACAACAAATGGTTACCAACGTTAGTGAGATTCATCCCAGATGTGGTGGTACAGGTTCAAACGCCGTCCATCCAAGAGCCGGACAATGTTTTCACACTGGAACCGACTCACACTGCCGGCATTAACATTAACATTATCATGACAGGGGGGTTTATTTACATTACACGAAGAGACGAGCACGTTATGTGAGCAATGCATTTTGAACACAACAACAACAAAACATTTGGGTCTGAATGTAAATGTGTTTGAAATATTTCCTTTTTACAAGAGCCTTCAGTTGTTTGAAAGTTTACACAACTCTCTTTACAAAAGCTGCAATCACACCTGTTCCTACATCACCATCGCAATCATAATCAAACAAGCTGTATACAGTTGTGGTCAAAAGTTTACATGCACTTGTAAAGAACATAATGTCTTGAGTTTCCAGTTATTTCTACAAGTCTGATTTTTCTCTGATAGAATGATAGGAACAGATATTTCTTTGTCGCAAAAAACATTCATGAAGGTTGGTTCTTTTATGACTTTATTATGGGTTAACAGAAAAAGTGACAAAATCTGCTGGGTCAAAAATGTACATACAGCAACATGATTTAGCAATTGTGGTGACTTAGAAAGTTGTGTCAATGAAATGAGCTTCATGGCCTCTTAACTTCTTGTCAGTGACTACAGCTGGTGACGTCTCTGAGGCCATTTAAATAGAGCTCATTGGATTCAAACGCCCACAAACGCTACAATGGGAAAGTCAAAGGAGCTTAGCATGGATCTGAAAAAGCGAATCATTGACTTGGTCCCGAGAGCAACAGTGCAAACAATTGTTTGTAAGTATAAAGTGCACGGCACTGTTTTGCCACTGCCACCATCAGGAAGAAAACGCAAGCTATCACCGGCTGCTGGGAGAAAATTGGCCAGGAGGGTGAAGAGTCAACTGAGGACCACCAAAAAGCAGATCTGCCAAGAATTAGAAGCTGTTGGAACACAGGTGTGAGTGTCCACAGTCAAGCGTGTTTTGCATCTCCGTGGACTGAGAGGCTGCCGTGCAAGAAGGAAGCCCTTGCTCCAAAAGCGGCACCTTAAGGCCAGACTGAAGTTTGCTGCTGATCACATGGACAAAGATAAGACCTTCAGGAGGAACGTTCTGTGGTCAGACGAAACAAAAATCGAGCTGTTTGGCCACAATGCCCAGCAATATGTTTGGAGGAGAAAAGGTGAGGCCTTTAACCCCAAGAACACCATGCCTACCGTCAAGCACGGTGGTGGTAGTATTATGCTGTGGGGCTGTTTTGCTGCCAATGGAACTGGTGCTTTACAGAGAGTAAATGGGATAATGAAGAAGGAGGATTACCTTCAAATTCTTCAAGATGACCTAAAATCATCAGCCCGAAGGTTTGGTCTTTGGTGCAGTTGGGTGTTCCAACAGGACAATGACCCCGAACGCACATCAAAAGTGGTAATAGAATGGCTAAATCAGGATAGAATTAGGGTTTGACTGACTTAAATCCCATTGAGAAGATGTGGACAACAAGTCCATGTCAGAAAGCCATCAAATTTAACTGAACTGTGAGGAGTGGTCAAAGATTCAACGAGAAGCTTGCCAGAAGCTTGTGGATGGCTAACAAAAGCACCTAATTGAAGTGTAAATGCCCAAGGGACATGTAACCAAATATTAGCACTGCCCTTTGTATATTTTTGACCACGCAGATTTTGTCACTTTTTCTGTTAACCCATAATACTCATAAAAGAACCAAACTTCATGAATGTTTTTTGTGACAAAGAAGTATCTGTTCCAATCCCTCTACCAGAGAAAAATCAGACTTGCAGAGATAACTGGAACCTCAAGAGAGCCACAACTGTATAAACTGTAGTTCAAAACATAAGAGGCATGTAAGGAGGGGTGGTATTGACACTGATTGAAGTAGAGTGGATTTTAGCATAAACAAACAATGGCCTTTTATCACAAAGAAATGCTATAATTTTTTATATATTAATATTAAGCAAATTCTAAATCATTGTCCGTGTTGATTTTTTTAAATGTTTAAATATGATTTTTGGTTGATCCCTCGATGAGGTTACCAGGAATGTTATTTATCTGATTGGCATAACATTAATTTCCATTATCTTTTGATGCTTTTGTCATCTAATAATTATACAAAAGCAACTAAAGCAATCCGGGATATTGGAATATGTGGTTTATCTCTTTATTAAACCATCCATCTCAGTTCATTAAAGTAAATTCACTGAACATTTGGCATCGAGACCAATTTAATTGGTCTCTCCAAAGCCTTGTCCATGAAATAACAAAACGCTTGTAAAAAAAAAAAAAACACAGATGACAATAGAAGCCTCCCAAAATATATTACAGCTTAATATACAAATATATAAATGTACATTCAATAAATACAATAAGAAGTATTGAGATGTATTATGGCTAAAATGTAAGCCACGCCATCAAATTATCAGGGCTTGCATGTTTGTTTACAGAAATTCTGTTAAGTTTTAGCTTTTCAAAATAAGGGTTGTTGAAGATATTGTTTAATCAATGGAGTAAACTACTGGTGGGTGATTTAATGTTGCCGCATGCATAATGTGTTTAAAGAGCACTTGCCGATACGGATTTAAAAGTGAGCTAAATTCAAGTTCAGGAAAGAAATACACAAATTAAAAGATGCATATGCCTGTTGGAACGCAAACTTAATGACCTTTGACATTTTAATGGCTGCAGAGGACAAAGAGCCTTTTAAAAGTGACCAGTTACACAATAACCAAAACACATCAAAGAACACAGCAAGACTTCAAGAGATCAGGAACTAACACACTATACATTTGTTGAACATATACATATTTATGAATATGTTCATAAATATATATAGTATAGTGAATACAGGACTAGTCAAAAGACTGGACACACTTTCTCAGTATAAAGGAAATGTGTCCAAACGTTTGACTTTTTTTGTGATATAATGGTTCGGTAAAGAAGAGACAACATTGTCATTTTGAGCATTTAAGAAATAAAAAGGAAACAAAAAGATGTGCCGAATCTATGCCTATCACTCTGAATCATTTACTCATCCAAGTTCACAAAGGCAAAGAAAACACACAAGGGGTTAAAAATACATAAAAATCAGTATAAACCGGATAAATGGGCTAAAGGAGCATAAACAAATGATTACAAAGATATGCAGCAAATGTTAGTGAAAGTGTACACTTGTTATATGTGAGCACATCATCACGACAAAACACCTGTAACATGTGTCGGCGTCAGAATAGGCAGAGAGACGGGAGAGGGTTTGTGAGCAGACGGATTTCCAGCACTGTGGATGAGGTCGTGTTTGTTGCACTGGGAGTTAATGTCGTGAGGCACAACAGGAGGAAGAAGAAAAAAAAGGCAAGATTCAGTATAAGTCCAGTTGCTTGCTATGGCTTTCCCGGTGGGTGTTGTTGTGTGTGGTCCTTCTTTGGCTGTGTGTGTTGAAATGGAGGCTGTGCAAGTGCGACATCAAGCGTCATTCTGCCCAAAAAGACTGCCCTGCATCTTCAGCTTGTGCATCCTGCAGAGGAGAAAAGACAACAGTGAACCGGAGAGCTTTTCTTCTTCTGATTAAACGGGATTTTGAACTACATCAACTTGTAATTGACAATAAATGATATGGATAAACTTACAGCTTTTCTTTACGGTTCATGTTGTCTTCTTTAGACTTGACAAAGACTCCCTCTTCTCCTCCCCTGACGAGGTAGGCGAACTCCCCGTCCTTAGCGCTGAAGATCACCCTGAGATCACGAAAAGGAAAAAAAAAAAAACACTTGTCAACGGACCGCTTCTACTTCATTCTAAATATCTTCATTTGTCTTTGTCTTTTTGACGGAGACCAAGGACTCACTTGGACTGGGTCTCCCCCGACTTGATGCGCAGTTTTCGGATGTGGAACTTGCTGCTGCCCCACCAGTCCGTCCAACTGATGATCGTGTCCTTCTCCCAGCGCAGCTTCACGATCATCAGGTCGCCAACGTCCACGTCGGTGGTGATGAGGAACGACAGAGTGGTGTTACCGCTTAGGACCGGCCTGAGGATCGGAAATAAGAGCAACATTTAAAAAGGTCAGCGGTTCAGTTTGACGCTGTACTACACTAAATAAGAATTGTGTGGATTTATGTACGTACAAGACAAAGGAAATGCCCTCTTTCTCTCCGTGGGTTCCATACAGAGAAATCTTCATTGGCTGCTCGGTGAAGCTCAGTGGGTCCTTGTTGAAGAGATGCACCTTGACTTGATAGTGAAAAACTACAAGAGAAAAGTGTACAGACTTTGAACGGGCTCAGGGTTCTCAGTGACCACTAGCTAAAATGAGTCGAATACTTTTAATGCACTTATGTAACCTTTTCTCTGTCTTCATGTGACTGTCACGGTGCTGAATTCACACATGGATTTGTGCTAAATCCGTCCGGGAGACATTCACAGACCTATTTACCAAGACGCTAATCCTTGCATATAGGTATAATGCTGATTTTAACCAAATTCTTAAATGAACATATCCGTTCGTAGTGTACCACATGCAGTGTTGGCGCATTACCTCAGCGTACCAAGCGACTAAAATACGCAGGAATTTTCCTTTGTAACTGTACTAATAACGGTACTAATATAAATTACAGCTGCTATAGCAGCCAAATCCGCACTGAGCCACAACAGGGGCTCACGCACTGAAGATTACGCCTAGAAAGGCATGTGCATACATTAACTTGAATGTAATACATGCTGAAGAACATCAACCTCAGCCAGAATTTCTTTCTTGCACTGCACAGAACCACTGAAGACTTTTTTTTTTACCTTTGTATGGGCTTATTTCACGGGTCTTGAGGTACATCTTGGCGCTGCGGGTGGAGCGGACCTTGTTGATGTTGTAGCCCAGCTTGTTGCAGCGGTTCTTCCTGCAGCTGAGGCACATGCCCTTGTTGAAGGTCTCCCTGGAGTTGCAGCGGTAGGCCATGGTCTGCCGCTGGGTGTTCAGTAAGGAGTCGATGTACAGGTGGATGGAGCGCTCGTGGGAACATTTGACGAGCTGGTCCATATCTGAAGCGGACAGGGAACAGACTGTGAGGTTTGACCTCATTTACTTACACCTAACTTTTCTATGTTCCAGGGCAACCTCCATCAGTTGCCGGTGAAGTTAAATAATGATGGGACATATAAGCCAATGTCCCACAAGGTGAAGCACCATCACAAGCAGAAGTGCAGTGAGAAGCAAACAATGGCAAGCGGTTGGAATACACACTTTGGAGGCCCTTGATGCCTTCCAATGCGATCCCCATCAACGTGTTCTGGATGTCGCAGCCAGGCTGGAAAGTGCCTCCGTTGGGGTAGATGTCGATGTGGCCCACCGCTCTCTGGATGCCGATGCTGCGGTCCGGGGAGCCCCTGGTGTTGGTGTGCAGCACGTCCACAAACTGGGCGTCTTCTTTGGACAGAGTGTTCTGGTTGTCTGCGTGCTCGAAGGTGGGGCCGGCAGGATCCAGACCTGGAGAAAAAAAAAAAAGTTTCTTTGTTGTTGCGCACAAATCTCTGCGAAGAATGAGTGTGAGAACGTTGTAAAAAGACACATAGAAGCTGAAGTAAATGCCTCTTAAATCATCATTTTTATGGGCTTCTTCATTTGCACCTCTGCAGATTCACGGGAGCTCAGGACAGTGTGGAGCAGTGATTATGGGGCGTTAGGCTGACAGTAAATATACCATTATTCTAAGCAGGTAAGAGAGATAGCAAACTCAACTCTACAGTGATAAATTGGGGGATTGCACTCATAATACGGGCCTGGAATGACCCGCTGATTATATCTCACCGACGTGCTGTTTTGCTTTTACGTGCAGGGGCTGCATCTCGGATTACAGTATGAAATGGTACGTTTGCCCGCATGAATTCACTGGCTTCCAGACTAAAACGCGTCTCATAAATAAGCTCAAAATTCTTATATGAAATACACACCTCGTGCATTTGTGTAAAAAAAAGGAGCTCACACAATGCTCTAATGGAGGCAGTTGAAGTCAACGATGCACTTTTCAGTGGAATAACTCCATGCTCACACTTTTTCTCGTGACAGCACCTTTCATCGGTTAAATTGACCTTCTCACCTGTGATCCTGCTGATTTTATGGTCTGTGAGGTCTCCGGCGACTCCAGCCACATGTGCTCCCAGACTGTAGCCCAGCAGATGAATCCTCTCCCAGGGCAACTGCAGTTCTTTCTACGAGCGAGAAGATGGATCAGATGTGCGAGAAGAATGTGTTGACATAACGCAACAGAGTTTAAAGTGAATCCCACAGACTTGCTGGAGGGATTAAAACTAATGGCAGGATGTAACTCGCAAAGCACTCGGTTCAAGTCCTAATGGAGTCTGAGTACATTCCGAGAGGAGGATTAATTTGAGTAATTGCACGTGTTGCCAAAACACAAATGAGTGTGTTATTTTTGACAATAGCCCTTTTTGCCCTTAAACCAAATCTAAGCTTCACTGTAATACTCCGCCTTCAGATGAGGGGCTCCTGGGAGCCACAGACACGGACGCTTAAAATCACCATCATCATCAATCACACCACTTTCTGACCCAGAGGATGAGGAGAACACGATCCAGCCGGACGCTGACGCTCAATGAAAACACTCACCTGTATCCATGTGACGAACTTGGCCACGTCGCGGCCCACCAGTTTGGTGTAGGCGGCCGAGGTCGGGTAGTGCTGGTTGGCGCGGGTGAGCCAGTCCACCACGATGACGTTGGCACTGGGCTCGCGCTCGTAGAGAGCGGACACCAGTTTGGGCACCCAGCTCTCGAACATCCCGGTCACCTGTAGTAACACACACACACACACACACACACACACGGATTTGTGAGGCCAGCTGCAGGACAGCAGGACTCCTTCTGGATAGAACACATTCTGTGTGTTGTGGTTGGAGAGAAGCCAAATGGTCTTCAGGATCAGATGATGCTGCATTGCTAAATCACGCTATAGGAGGGGAGTGTGATTATGAGCAAAACTAAGCAGTGCACATAACCTACATGCAAGTAGACTTCTATAATAACTGGTTATAACGTTGCATGACGTGCATCGAGTGGAACATACCGTCCAGCCATGTATGATGATGAAGGTCTGTGTCTGCGGGTTGAATTCGCACTCTTTGACGGTTTCCGGGCTCCCGGTCACTATGTAGCACATGTCATCATCCGGGATGTCGACGGTGCGCAGGGAGAACTTGGACACGATGTCAGTGAAGTCTGTGATCCATCCGGGAGGGGTCGGCGGGGGGGTACCGGTGACTGTGGTGTTATCTGTGTACAGACGGCGTGCAGAGGGTCAGATCGTTGCGGTGCGCGCATAGGAATGCAGAGGATTGTATACACGATTCGGGTGGGTGGTGGGGGGGGGGGACTAAACGGGGAGAAAAAGTCGATCCAGGATTACGCTTTTGCGTGCATTCCGTGCATAGCTCAAACAGACAGGTGGGTGTTTTTAAACAGTTCAATCGCAAGTTGCCCTGCAGAGAACAACATCGTCAAAGCTCACCTTTTTTTCATGCACGAGGCTTGCTCTTTATTCATTGTTTTATGTATTGATATTGTTTGACCGCTGACCACACCGGCGTGTCAGTGGACCAGTAGAAACATGCAGCGTGGCAGTGTCGCCCCCTTCTGTCTCTACTGTATTTCTAAATTAATTAAACATTCAAACACTGTTAAGAGCCTGGAATTCCGTAGGAGATGCAGCCGATACAAACGGGATGCAACCTAAACAATTACATTATTCCACTGGGTATTTTAATACAACTTACCACGTCCATAAAAAAAAGTGGTTTGGGGCAAAATTACAATAGCAAATCATTTCTTATTAAACTTTTCATGCGTTTGTATACTGTATTATACAAAAAAAATGCTGCTTGATTAAACTTTACTACTTTTCTTCCCGTTAATGTTTTCGTCCGTTTGTCTCGCCAGACAAAAGGCCCGTTACAGCCGCTTTTCTTGAGGCACACATGGACCTAAATAGCATGAAATGGGATGCAGATCTTTCACGGGGTTACTCCCGGTCAACACGAGACATCGTGCAGGAATAATTCTGATCTATGTAATTGCTCCCTCATTGGAGCCTCGAATGAATCACCAAAGTAGGTTTTATTTCCAGGCAAACAAGCTGATAGGGTCGCTCTTACCGAACACGGTGATGAGTTCAGGGTCCGAAGAGAAAGTTGCAAAGATTTTCCCCAAAATTATCCAAACAGACAAAAAACAGATATTTTCTTTTCCCATATTATTAGGAAGTTTTTGTTATTTTTTCCTTGAATATCCTGAATTAAAAGTTGCCCTGGGAGTCGGCGGACCGGCCGTATTTCCACGCGTGTGACACAGAAAGTGGTGCGGAGTTGTGGTTTGGGAGTAAAGGTTCTTACGGTCTGTCACGCTCGCCGCTACAAGTCATCTTTATGGGGGGGCTCATTTGAATGTTCAAACGTGATTGGCCGGAGGTTGGTGGGCGGGGTTTAAACTTTGTCCCAAGCTATTTACCCTGTAAACGGAAATCATTGAACAAGGTGGGTTTTGCAGAAGAGCAAAGGCGAGCTGAGTAAGAGAAGGACACCTGAAGGTCACTGTCGAGTATAAACTGTATATTATCCTGTTGGATTTTTTTAGCAAAATACTCTCAAGTTGCCTCAGACTTGAAAATGCGTTAATTCGTAACTCGAATGAATCAAGACAAAGAAGATGTGACACTTCTTTCACAATCAAACCAATATTAGAGAAGTGAAAGTTGAAAAGTGAAAATGCTTTGTAAGTAAAAGTATTATGAGTGAAATGTACTTAAAGCCAGGGCAGGTAAAATATTTCACAAACATGCTTTGTTATATATTTTTAAATCCCGACAGCGATTAATGAAATGTTCTGTCACACGGCCCTGAGCTCGTTGTTAACCTTCGTTATTACATTTTGGGAGGGGGGTTCTCTGGAGAGAGGCCTTCAGGGATAAGCTGTCCGTGTTGGCCACAGACTTTCTCCCCAGAAGCAGCAGCTTTCTGAACTAGTCCTGCAAGTTAATTCCACCGGAACAGGGGGGAACAGGGTTTTACTTTTGTAGTTTGTTGAGCTGCTCATTCTTTGGCATCGCAACATTTTTATTTTGTATTTTTGTTGTAAAGTAAGAGGCTAACTGCATCAGTCAAATATAAGCTAATTAGAAAATATATCTGTACAGTTCCCTTTGGTTGAGTGGCGCTTAATGGAAATATGGAAGTAGATTACAAGTAACTAATGCACTTGAATACGATCATATTTAACACTTGTAATGCTTACTTGCAATTTAACGCAATCTATTTGACTGATAATCCAGTCAGCATTAGTACAGCTCTCGTGGGTACGTATCAAAGACCGTCAATTAAAGACAAGTAAGACAAATGAAGCTCCATCTCATCTCCACGTCTACATGTAAGGAGGTCGTCAGATTTCATTTAGTTGCGTTTTTTTTCTAAACACCATCGCTGACGTGTCCCTGATATCCACTAGTTACGTCCAGAGACCACTGAAGTCGGGTCCGATCCGATCTCCTCTCGGATCTTCTGAGTGGAGTGGGTGTGTGTTTGAAGGCCCCCTCTCCCATTGGTCGACTAGGCTGCACTCAAAAACAATGACAAAGCACAACTGGATCCCAATTCATCCCAAGGACGCTGGAAAAGCTTAAAATGAAGAGAAAAAAATGCAGAAAAGTACATTACCATCTCACAACATGTCATGTAAAATGAAAACAAGATGTTCAGACGTTCTGTGCATTCTTTGTGCTTGTAGTTGAACGCCTTTTTTCGGCACTCGGGGGCAAAGAGGAAACTCAAAACCTCCAGAGAAATCACAGGCACATGGAAACTAAACGTACGAGTCCGAGTCCCTGTGATTTTATGCTGATTTTCATGCCAAAACAACTGCGTGAGAATATTTTATACCTTTTGTTTTCTCTCCAAACCGACGGCCACAAAACAGATCGACCTGTTGACTAAATATTTTGCCAAAAGGATAAAGTTTCCATGTTTTTAAACCTGCTATGCATTTGTTTTAGGAGAATCATGTCTGTGTAAGACGTCCCCTCCCACCCAGGGAATATTATTCTTTTGAAACCCGTGGAGATCAACCGTAGGAGATTTTGGATTAAGATCTCACGTGTAGTGCATAGACTGTAGACTTAGGGGGCCGTGTTGTTCAAAATGTTCAGCGCTGCCTTAAAAGAAAATGTTTTGCCTTGACAAGAAGAATTGAGGGAGGATTGTTACTTTCATCCAAGTCTTTTTCCTCCAGAGTAGTCATTTAGACCCAATTGATGTATTTTCACTTAATAACAGTAACATCAGTGGAAACCAATGGAAAAGTGAAGCACATTCAATAAAACACATGTTTATGAGCAATTTGCATAAAACCAGGGTACGTCATGAAGTCTAAAGAGGATTGAACAATTGTGTTTTTTTAGACGTTCGCAAAGGAACCTCAAAGCTGACTCCCTTTCCAGTATGAAAGATCTCCATTTGGATTTGAATCCCCAGTCGTCAACTTTCGCTATTTCCTCTCCAATTATACACTCGCACTTGTTTCATGTGTATGTACGCGTAGGAGGAGGTGCGTCTTTTTTGTGTACGTGTGTCTGCCAGTGACTGCCGGGGAGGTGATGCTTATGCCCAAACCAAAAGGCCCAACCCAGTGATTAGAGGGGGGGGGAACGCCTCTCCCCCATCTTTCACCAAAGTCACTGTACTGGAACCCCACGGAGACCCGCAGAGATAAACGACAAGGAACATCGTATCCTGCAGCAGGCCCGCCCTGAGAACACTTGGTGTATCTATCATTAAAAAAAAGGAGAATGAGAGCAGGAGCTGATTAAAGGGAAGATTACAAAACCGTTGTCAGTGGCAATGGACGGACTCGGCAGCGGACGGACGGCCCGAGGGGGTTTGTCTTGTGTACGGATGAGATATTTCCCATTTTAATGCCGCTCGGTCCCCTTTGAGCTCCACTTATTTTGGCTTTGACCTTGAGGCCACGCTGAGGAAATGAAAAGATCTCTGCAGAGAGAACACATATTTCCTGCTGTGGATGAATTCCCTCACCATCCTGTTGTTTCTTTTTCTCCTGGAGGCGTTTCGTGCCCAAAAGCCAGCGCATTAGTTTCACATTCCTCCCCGTTGGTGCTCCTGAGAGATTACGAGCCGAGCGGCTGCTGAGTGACGCAAACTCCGCAAATCTGCTGAATGTCCGTGGCGGCGGCATTTGGACTCCATCTGTTTCCTTTAGTGGTTCACACGCGTTTACCAACACCGGAGCAAACACAGGTGTAACCTGTACATAACTACAACAACAGCACGCGGTCAGTCGTGCCCACGTGGAGACATAAACCTCGGAAAATGTGTGTTTAAGAAGCAGTGCAAACTCTCTCTCTCACACACACATGGTGAAGTCATCAACCCCCATTCTTGCGTTTTAGACAGGTGACCCCATCTGCTTACAGTGTGTAGCGTTCCCACTGCTCCGGCAGGCTGCAGACGTTGTTGTCATGTGTTTTATGGGGATTCATTTAGATTTGAGGGTAAACTTCCATCTCCTTTTCTGGCCCTTTAACGTGTATCCTCCGCCTATATGCTGCCTGCTGCAGGTCATCCTCTCATTGTTGTGCGTCCCTCGTCACATTGTGTTCCCCTTTATCTGAATGTTTCCCGTCCTCGTTCACGGCCGCCACTTGTCCAGACGAAACACACGCGAGAGGGATCTCTGCTGGGACCTTGAGGCCAGATGTCACGGAAGAGAAAAACGCACTCACAAATCAAGGATTTACCAACCATACGGTTATTTAAAGACTATTTTAGAGGCCGCTCTAATTTGCCAACGCCGGAGGGAATTCTACCTTAATTGCCCATTTAGAATCTGCTAGATGGTGGAAATAGATTTGCTGGTTGGGAGATAAAACAAAGAAACGCTCCTTCCCCAGTCGGAGTTCTTTTACGAGCCTCCCTCTAAAGAAACAGCAAGGTCATAAAAGACTTGGGTGGGTGAGGAAGCCAATATTTTATGCTTCTATTCAAGGGTGGCAGGAAGAAGTTGTGTTATACACTTGTTTAACAAGGAGCAACTAGTTGAAGCGTGAACTGCGTGTTGCGTGCACGGGACATTTGGGTGTTTATATCTAATATAACACTGCAAGTGTACGTGTTCGTATCCACTCTACACTGTGAGGCCCCTTTATAAAGCTTAAAGTCACTTTTTGGTAATCTTCAATACTGTTCCCGTTCAACTGGTTGTGTAAAAATCAGGAGATCAAAGACTATTGTTGTTGTTACCAATTGGATTCGATTAGTTTTGCGAGTGAGGCAGCAGCTGAAACCACATCTGGAGCCTCTGTGTGGGCCTTCGTTCTCAAGCTGGGACGATGAGATTTGGTGGTAACTCAGAAACATCTGCCGTCTCCTACGTCTCCTTTGACGTAAGGAAGGAGAACGTGCAGAAAGTTTGGGCCCTCTCTCTTTTATACCGTAGGATGACCTCATGGGATCGGCAGGTGCTCAGACTCATAAGCCGTCCCCTTACATTACGTCTGACACACAACATACAGCGTAGAAATGTATATTCACAGCATCCATCAGCATGAAAACATTCTGTCTGCCAATTGGGCAATTTACAATCGGATGTAAATACTCCCATATAGTGTGTGGGTGTGTTTGTGTGTGTCTGTGTACGCAATGTATAGAGTAATAACTGTGAATAGTGAAAACACATGCACACACACACACACACACACACACAGCTGTACATCTGTTGCTGCGTGTCCTCTGTAGGCCAGGCCTTACAGAGCTGCCACTGTCCTCTGCACATTACACACAAAAGACTACACACCTCTGTCACGGATGCAAGTAAGTGCACACTGAGTCCCGATAGTGACGTGTGCCGCAAACACGCATACATGCGTGTGCAGGAGAACCGCATCCAGGAGCTTCGCCTGCTTTTTCTTCTCCTTTTCCTCAGTTTCTGCACCGTGCCTGCTCATCACATAGAAACACGTATGTTGGTGCCTTTATCTGCTCGTGCGTGTGCCGAGGCAGAGGACTTCGAGTCGCCGTGCGTGCAGCAGTCCAGCTGCGATTCCTCAACTCACGCGGATGTCCCAACTCGGGAGGGAGAAGACATTTCGTAACTATTTGATTTCAACTGCACCGAAAGGAGATGCCATCGTCTGGGCCGCAGGCGGACGGGGCAAAACGCGGGTGGGTGCAAATCCCGGGACCATTTTCCAACCCAATAGTTCTTATTTATTAAATCTTTTGGGGGTTTTTTTAAAAGAGGAAGGGGAGGAGGGGAGAGACGGCCCAAATGTGAGAATCAGAAACAGCCCTTGGGGAGTCAGCCTCCCCCTTAAGTGTTAAACATCCTTATTACAGGCCGGCAGGACAGCAACCTAGGTTTTGCCCCAGCAGGTCTTGGACCGTGGTGACCCGCCTTGGTTCGGGTGTGGCCGTGGGCTCCTTTCTTCTCGGCCTGGCTCCTGTTCTCAGAGCCGGGAATCAGGGTTTGCTTCACTCCCCCCCCCCCCCACACGCTGCTGCCCCGCGGCCTCATCCTGGAGACTGGCTGTCTTGCACGAATGGTTGTGATGTTCTCGGGATCAGCGTTCGGCGGCAGACCGAGGGTTTACACTAACGCAAACATATTTGATCTGTCTGGGGTTTTGACAAGATTCTATGAAAACCATGAGCTTAAATGTCTTTTAAGGATTGCAAAAAAAAAACACTCAATAATCATACCAGGATTGTGTGATTGGTCACTTTGACAAACTGCCTTTTTTTTCACCCGCAACACTGAATCTCTGCAGACTTTCCTCTCCTCCCTGCAGTTCCAGCCGTTGCTCGAGGATGTTGTCTCAGCTTTGATTTCCCTTCAGCTGCACAAGAAAGCTCCCGATGGATCCACCTGTGAGGGCCTCACGCCTGGTGCATTGAAGACTAACACATAAAAAAAGAGCACACAAGTGCACCACAAACAACACCACAAACCCCGCTGCAGCGTCTCACGTTCACTGCCAGAGAGACACGAGAGACGCGGTGGTAAGACGGCTGATCAGGACAGAGAGAGAAAAATAAACGGCATTCCAAAGGCCGGGGTAAACGATGTTGCACAGCACGGGGGTGAACCCAGGGATCGGTGTGTGTTTGCATTCCTCATACATTGAACCCATTGGGAAGGCTTACAAACACATACGTGCCTTTATGTGTCCGAGTGATGTATCTGCCTCCTCCTCGTGTTGATGTAAGCAGACACATCTGGCGGATTATTTACAGTGATGGTCACTGGTACACGTCCTCAATTTAACCCCAACAACATCTCACAAGTCAAGTCCTCTGACCCCTTTACCTTCTGTCTCAAGTTTTTCCACTTGAATAGCACTGAGTCATTCACATCCACACGGATGCATTTGGCCCAGAGTGCAATCACCACTTATAAAACAAATATTTTAGCCTGGTTCGACCAATGCAGTCACTTTCCTTTCATCTACTCAACGCCTAAACTTAAAGTATGACTAGAAACCACCAGCTCTTGCCTCTATATGTGATTATATAACTCCCTCTAATGGACAATTATAAAACAACAAGAGAGCAATGAGGAAGATTTTGATTGAAGTGTTTTACAAACCGGCTACTGTAATTAGCACGTTCTGTCAAAGGGGTCAACAGGTGGATGCGGGGCGGCGCCAGTGAGGCCTTCGATGCTTCAAACCGACAAATGCAGACCTCTGAACCACGGCTGCGCGTTGCTTTGCGTCACTGGGGTTTGCAGACCTGCAGATTCAATACAATGACAAAGGGCTCATCGGGATCAATCTTCTTGGCTAAACGTTTTCTTGCGAGAGGGTTGGAGCGCGCGGACATCCAGGCAACGATAAAAACCACGAAACCACTGGACACAAAGGGGTTTCCTGTCCATTATCACCTGCTAGTCTGTGGGGTTTTGCTGACCAGCAGGTGATAATCATTTGAGTGGATTACTGCCTCTACAAGAGAAGTCTTGTTTTTGTGTGACTAGTGGAAGAATTTAATGATTTAAATGGAGCCTGGAACGGTGACCATGCCATAGAAAGAAACGAAATTGATTATATATATATTATATAAATATTATATAAAAGGTGCAACAAATATGTTGAGCTTCAGGCTTAAATGAACACTGAGGGTTTAGTTTACGTCAGCCGGCCGTTGATTACTTCCTCAGCGATACATCAACCATGAGTCATCTGCTTCATGACAAATGAGCGGCAGAGTACGGAAAGAGGAAAGTGTCCGTGGGGGGGAAAGAGGAACTCCAGTTTGTTGAAGAGGAACTTGGATCCAGTAATAGATCGAAACCAAGGGAAGTTAAAAGGATCCATGTCAGAAAGTCTTTTTCAGTCAGTTGGTGTACTCACGAGCTGCGAGTGAGGCACAGAGGTCAAAGTGACATCTTACAGCCGGAAGAACGTTTCCTGTCGCAAATAGAGACGTGATCGTGGACAGTGTGCAACTCTGCAATGTGTGTGTTATTTATAGAACTTACTGACACGAGTCCCCAACCAGTTCCACCAGACCACCCACTGGGTTTGCAGTTGCACACACTGGCTCCTCACCTCATTTCGTCAGTGCAGGCTGAAGGTCTTGAAGTCAGCATTGAAATACATTGAAATACAGCACATCACTTGTGGGACTTCCAGGTTGAGTAAGTCTCCCTCTGCGGTTGGGAAAGGTTTCAGGGCACCAGCCGACTAGTGTCACATGTCAATTCTCATCTTGGACCCTAATAAATTAAACAATATAACAGTTTCTGATGTGCTGCATGTTTTATTCACTCTAAAGTTACTTTAGGGTTGCATGAAGCTAAAAGGTTGACAGTCTATTCTACTTAAGAATGTGACTACAAACCTCTCAAGGCTGGCAGAGCATTCTGAAAACTAGATGGAGCCATGTGCATCTTAAATGCTGCGTTGTACAAGTCAACTTCAAGCTCACGGAAGTACTGAAAATTAGATTTATTTCAGTAGCACCACTGCAGAGAGATGGATCATCTTTTATGTATGGAGTACATTTTATTGAGAGCATGGCGTCAAAAGGACTAAATATGACACATTTACAAACAAAAAAGAAAAAAATTAAGTTACAGGAAACGGACATAATACATTACATTAAGATTTTAGAACAGATCTTAAATCGATAGTTTGTGAACACAGACGCTCGTGGTGCATTTACCATTATCCAAACAAATTGAAATACATTTCAAAAGGAAAATCTAACAAGCATGGATAATAATAATGTGAATGAAATGACCTTTAAAAACATTTTACTCTTCAGCAAAACTCCAAATATCTTTTTTTGAATGAGCTATGAAGAAGGTAATTGCAGCAACGGCTAATTTATTGAGACTGGAAATTGCCCAGAATGCTTCAGACCAACTGGGACAAACTGGGCGAGGTTAGGTCCACTGACTCAGGGGTCTAGGAAACATCTTAATTCACAACACAGAGCTCTGTGACGCATCCACAGGCCCACCTGCATTCACAACACATTAACGGCTGTGTTACACTATCATGGTGGGTTGGATTGACTGATAAATAGAAGGCAGGAGATCACTACATCACACACACACTAAAGAGAAACACAAAAAGGAGAATCTAAGTGAAAAACAAAACATCTCCATCAAAAAATGGATTGGAAGTGTCAAAAAAAAAAAAAAAAAAACAGTAAAAAAAAAAAAAATAAAATAAAAATGTACAAAACAAAAGAAAAGTCAAATCCGTCCTGAGACAGTCAAACTGTTGTATCGCGACATCAGTAGCGTCGGCCGAACGCTCCGCCCTGCAGGCCGCTGCCCTGCAGCAGCTGGTTCTGCCTGTTGAGAGCTCCGGACAGGGACTGAGATGTTCCTGTGTTCATGTAGCTTCCGCGGCTGGTGGAGAAAACAGAGACAACGTGATCCAGACTGTTCCATTGTTGTGTGTGTGTGTGGTTTTGTTTTTCTTTTTAAAAAGGGATAACGTCAGAAAAAAGGAGGCACAGATCCAGCGGATATTTAGGACTCACCTTGCTATTCCACCTCGTGTAATGTGGCTCTGTCCCGGGATGGCCCCGTCTCTACCTGGAACCCCCAAAAATAGAAACATCACACGTGGAAATGCTGCGCGTCTATTTGGCCAGTACGTGGTAAACAAACTATGGTTTCAGGTCACGCTACACCATCGTCTCTCAGCTCGCTACTACAGTCACGCCATCGTCCACTAGAATCCTCAGATGGCTAAAAGCTACTTTACGTGTTAAAGGCACCACACACAATAAATCATAAGTATGCATACTCTGCCATGTTCTGTCTCCATCTGCTTTCCGACTGGAGTCCCAGTCTCGAACTCCTTCCCTAAAAAAAAGTAAAGGGGGAAAAAAAACCCTAAACTTTGATTTGTCTTCCCTTCAGGGAAAAGTAGCACTGGACCATATTATTAATCGGGTTTTATGTGGCTTGAACTGAAGCCAGTCTCACCTGGGGTTGATGCGCTTGTCGTAGCTTCCACTCCAGGAGTCTCGGCCGTCTCTGCCGTGTCTCTCTGACCTGTCCGAGAAATGCTGAAAGAAAAGGACACGAGACTGTTACAATTCATTCACTCTGTGTCCCTAGATAATTGCTGTGACTTTTACAATATTAAAAGGTCACTTTGTTCGCACGAGTTGCAGCTCAACTTCGGTGAGACGAGAGTAAAACAATTCTCACCTGACCGACTCGGTCTGCGCCGGCGCCGCGAGCGCTGTCCCGCCTGTCCAACATCAGGTCGTCCTGGTAACGGCCTCGGTCTCTGTGGTCGAAGTCCTGATAACGCTCCTGGCGACCGAAGTCTGAGCGGCTGTATCGGTCATCAAGGGCCATGCGCTTGTCGGGCCAGTCATCTTTCCTAAACAAAGAGAAGCAGGCAACGAGGTTCATTCACTGAGCTGCTCGCTGCCCACCTGATATCCACACATTGCATTGTGTGCCAGCTATGACTTACCTGCCATCCATATCGTAGGGCCTCTTCATGGAGCGGCGGGCCTGCTCGTAGCGCAGCTGCTCCTGCTGCCGCCGCAGCTCGTCGCGCTCCCTGAGGATCCTTTCCTGCTCGCGCCGCCTCTCGTACTCTATGCGCAGCCTCTCCCGCTCCAGGAACTGACGCTCCATGCGGTCCGCGTCGAGCCGCTGCTTCTCGGCCTAGGGGGTAAAAAGACGTTCCCGGGTGCAGCGAGATCATCAACACAGAGGACTTGTGGGGAAAGTGAGGCTGAGAAAACGCGGGCGAGTGACTAAGGGTACCTCCAGCCAGCTTCTCTTCCGGAGCAAGTGTTTCCTCTCCTCTTTCTCTCGGAACAGGCGGATTCGTTCGCGCTCGCGGTCCGGGCGGATGGCTTCCCGGCTGTCTCGGTCACTGGGAGAAGATGGCAACGGTACGTTTTTTTAAGCACCGCGTGCACGGTTTTTGGAAGTATGTTGTAATTAAGTATTACAGTGTAAAACTACCACACAGAAGGGAATTTCTTCAGGCTTTATCAAGAAAGATGTTGTATATTCCAGAAAAGAGTGTTGTAAAAATGTATTTTTTTAACCATCAGCCAAGTTAATGAAAGTGTATTTTATGTGTTGTAAAGCTCTGGCATCAGTTAGAATAAATCTTACGCAAACCTGCGTCTCTCCACCTCTCGGACCTCTCGCTCTCGTTGCCTCTGTCGCTCCCGCTCTCTCTGCTCCTTGATCTGGTCAAACGTCAAGATTTCTTTCTTTTCCTTACTGAGTGAACTGCGGTCCCGGCTTTTTGAGCTCTGGAGGAAGGAGACGACGAAAGAGAACGTCTAACAGGGTCCTCGAATGCTGGCATGTAAAAGGCCGCCCTCCTGTATTGTGGTGCCACCTCGGTAAGAAGAAGCTTTTGTTTACTCACTCGTTCCTTGCTTTTAGTTTTGAGGCTGATGACGGGCTCTCCTTTGGATTTGTCCATAATTACCGTCCTCTCATTTTGCCCTGTAGAACAAAGACAATTGATAGTCAAGAAAATGGGAAAATATTGCGGTCTCAAGTGCCTTTTTTTAACTTTAATTCCATACAAGCTGGAAATGATTCCAAACTTATCACCTTTGCCATCCTTTCCGTCTCCCTCGGCCTTCTCATCTTTCTCTTCAGCTCTACAGAAAACATGAGCAGTTGTTCAGCCAGTGCACATCGTAACACCTCAAACAACAGTTCAGTGAATGGTTTACTCCCCCCCACATAGTTAAGAGCAGTGGTACATGTCACCACTGGGGCAGGTCATACCGGAACAAAATACCGAGCCGGCGATTTTTTGTTGTTGCTTGTAATGGATCTTACTTGGACTCAGAAGATGGTCTCCGGTCACCAGCAGGCTTCTTGGGGTCATTCTTATCTGCTGGCTTCTTCCCCACGGGCTCGTTTTTAGCCTGCAAGGTTTAAACAGGACTGTGTTTTTACATGTTTACCCTTTAGCTTAATTTATTTCTGTATTACAATTTTTGACAAAATGATACAACTATTAAATGCTACAATCCTTGTTAAGTAATTTCTCTATTGGGGACAGACAGATTTACAAACTCTTTACAAAGATAATCCTGGTGGGACCAGGCGGACACTCACCCGCTCCACAGAGATCATCTTGCCGTGCAGCTCAGTCCTGTGAAGGTGGCTGATGCACTTGGTGGCCTCATCGGATGTAGACATGGTGACAAAACCATAGCAGCGAGCCCCGGGGCTCTTGGCGTTGGTCACAACTTTAGCTCCAACAACCTGCAGGATATGGAGACAACACTCATCCATTTCACATCAAATACATGTGATTTGATACGAAGTTCTAGTCCTTTTGACGACTAACGAGACTGACCTTGCCATATTTGCTGAAGAGAGTTTTCAGATCCGTCGCTCTAGTAGTGGAAGACAGCCCACTGACCCACAGATTCCTGCTACAGGTAGCTGCAGCGCCTCCAGCGACTACAAACACAGTAAATCAATGAGCATTTATTTGCTCAATTTTGAAGGTCAGGAGGAAAAAAAAAACATCCACTCACCCTTTTCATCTTTTGACTCAGTCGCGCCATCGTTCTCCTCAGCGCTAGAGACAAAAGAAAAAAAGAAATCAACATACAGCAGTGAAATAGCTGGGATCGCTCCTCATACCGATATAGCTTCTTTACGGTATGATACATAACAGACAGTGACCAGCCCATCATGTACCGTAGTGCAGTGATTTAACGGCGTAAATGGAACTATACCTTATGGAAATCCGAATACTCGTCAATGGGTAATAAAGTGGGATAGGTGAGTGTAAAGAATGACAAACGGAAAAAAAGACGAATGCATCGAACGTTTTTTTTTTTACCTCCAACGAGCATCCAAATTTTGCTAGCACAAAGGAGCCAATGCAACAGAGATAGCCATTTTGGTTTCTAGTAGACAGAAAGCAACAAACCTCTTTTTCTGATCATCGCCCTCTACAGAAGAGGACTCTTTCACTGTGGAGGCTGAGTCCGCAGCAGCTTTGTCTTCTGTCTTCTCATCCTCCTCACCCTTCTTAGACCCCATTTCTGAATCAACAGTTTCACCCACAGTGCCTTGTTCGCTTACACTAACAGCCTGCGAGCTTTCGTTTTCTGCGTCAAATGTCTCTTCTGGGGCATTCTGGGCCTCCCCGACCTCTTTAGCGCAAGTCTCAACAACATCCATGGCGCTCTCCACGTCTCCAGCGGCGGCGTTCTCGAACGCGGCACCGGTGTCGGACACATTGTCTTCCCCTCCGGCAGTGGCAGCTTGCTCTTCTTCAGGGCTCGTCCCGAGGCTCTCCTGGTGATCTTCGTTAAGTGGCTCAGATAAACAAGAGCCGGCTACTTTGTCATTTTCTACGGATTTAACAGGAATAGAATGGCACAGTTTAATCACTTCTGAAACACAGCAATGGTTAACGAGGAACTGGCAAGGCCTGGATTAGGAACGTCATGACCACTGGCCTGTGCGCTTAGAACTAAGTGTTAAAAGGATGAAGTAGACCCTAGCGAGAGACTGGAAGAGAGCCCAGAGGCTGAGGAGACAACTAAACAACTAGTGCGACTAACACTTGGGCTCATCTTTTCTCAAGTTGAACCACTTCACGGTGTTCACCTGATCCAAAGCAGACAAAGAGTTCAGTGCTGAAGAGAGCCACAAGATCAGCAGTGCCGCAGCAGATTCTCGCTGCAGTCCGTCTTCTTTCCGCCTTTGACTTTCCTCGGTGTCCGTTTGTGGTGATGATGATGATAAGAACGTTGGCTCAAGTCCAGCAATTTCATGTCCAGCTGATTTCCGAGTCAGAGTCTTTAAAAAGTTGTACATAGTTTATGAGTCTTGATGGATCTTCATTGTTTTGTTCTTCGTGTGGCAACCTAGAAACACTGCAATCACCTGCAACAGCTCACACCCCCCTGACCATGACATACAATTGCTGTCAATGTGCATCACTTTTTAACCACTGTTATATTACTACTTTAAAAAAAAACACATCTGGCAGCTTAATCAATATTTTACCAGGGAATTTATTAATTGTGGTTAACCAAGTTTCAACACAAAGTCAGCAATTCCCTTTGGGCTTCCAGTCTCTCTTCCTGGTTAAAACTAACCTAAGTGTTTGCACTCCAAGCTCAACACCGTAAAAAGATGTGTCCACCTTTGTTCCAAACCCTTTTCAACAGTACCTGTTACTTCTTTCACGTCATCTGCATCTGGATCCTGAGCCTAAAAGAAAAGAATGTCTTTTAGGAACCTGAAGGGTTGGGACGGTTTGTATTACCGCAGCTTCACAAGCTCTATGATGAGAGAAGGCGAGGTAACGTACCACATTGGTTGATGAGCTTGTCACGTGTTCAGTCATATCTAACACCTCAGGCTCATCCGTCTGTAAAAATAAAGATATAAATGCAGCCACATTCAAAGTTGGCATTTAGACAGAAGAAAATTGGTAACCACGTTTGTAATCCAATTTCTCACCTCTGGGCCTCTTGCTTCATTCTCTGACTCGATGGTCCTGCTGTCGGGTTCTTCCTTCAACATCGCGTCTTCATCGGGTTCTTCGTTCAACAGGGCATCTTCGTCAGAGTGGACATTTGAGGCTTCGTCCTCGTCATCCTCGGCTGGTATCCCGTTGTCATTCTCGGTCTCGTCGAGAACGTTCATGTCGAGGATGTTCATTTCCTGCATGTTCTCAGGAAAATCCTGAGGCTCTTCCTAAAATTACAAAAATGAGGAAGTTTGCTGCAGATTCTCACAAAATCTATATTCCCATTCAGAGCCTTGCAGTTGCTGAGGAGGGCGAGGCTAAGGCATCACTACAGTAAAGCTTAGACACGTTCAAATGAGTTAAGCAATCTCACCTGGCCATAGTGGGATCCTCTTCGATAGTACTGTCCTCTGGTTCATCGTTCTCGGGCCTCATATCTAGAGTAAATACATGTAGTTGTATCATACGGTTATCAAAGAAAACTTAAGTGTGTCATATTTTACAGGTGATGGAAAATCATGATGCGATCCAATAAAACGGACAGGTGCAACATTTGTGCATCTAAAAAGGTTATGTAACGGTGTTTTCACAGTTGTGTGCTGTATATATATGTTTGCAGGTAATAAATACAGTGAAACCAGGCCACCGGGAAAATGTAAATTAAGATGCAATGCCTTATTCAGGAAAAGGAATAGTCAAATTCAACAGCTCAGAAAAAAAGGTTTATTGCATCAGTTTTTCGTCTAAACTTGTATTAACTAGTCATTGAAATCATTCTGCAGGAGGTGTTTTCTGCGTTGTGCAGTTTATCTGCATTGCACTGATTGCTGCACTTACACACCAAACATCCATGAAGATGTAACGTTACCCAGTGAACTGAAAAACATCAATGAACCGCAGCTACTGTCAGGGACACGTCTCTCTACGGCTTCAATAGAGGAAAGAAATACCTCGAGTAAAGTTACCGTGTGACGATATTTACAGAAGCACATGCGTTTGCAGTTTAGGTCTAAACGGCGTTCACTTAAAAGCATCGTGTAAACTTTTTACCTTTGGAGGCCCGCTTCGGTGTAACGTTGGATCTCTTTGGATTCGACTCGGGAGCGACGACTATCTCGTCGGGATTTCCACCCTCTTCGTCGATTGCCTGTTCGAATTATAGAGATGCGGACACGTCAATGCCCCGTTGTTTATCAGCAAGAGTTTCATGGTACAAGAAAGTAAAAGTAAAAATACGTAAATAGACACGACATTAACGTTAGCGAACAGCAGCTCGCGCACGGCGAGGGTCAACGGGCCTCGTTAAGCTAACGTTAGCTAGCGTTAGCTTTGGGCTCATTGGTTCGACTCCATTGGCGAGGCCACGCAACGCGGGCGCCAAACGACTGTCACGTCGCGTTAATTAAACTCAGCGGGTAGCTAACGTTAGTGGTTTCAAAACGTGAGCAGCTGGGCGACCTTTTTGAGGCGCTCGGACAGCACCCTCTTGGCGCCCGTGGTGTCCAGGTTTCGTTTCTTCAGCTCGGCCTTCAGGTCGATAACTCTCAGCTCCGACAGCTTGCGGACCTCTGCGCCCTCCGGAACCGCCACGTCTGCGGATGGTTCAGCCATCGTTGTGTCCGGGAGAATATATCTTCAGCTTGAAATCTTCGCTGCACTTTATTACCTAATGCTGCACTTTACGAAAGGAAGCCGCTAGCTCGCAAAATATTGCAAAATGGAGGCCGCGGTGAGCTCGTTGACGTGAAGGCGCATGCGCAGTACAGCTGCGCTGCAGAGATTGAGGAACCATCCACACGTCGCTAATAGTGTGTTTTTTCAACAATGTGCGGATGCACATTAGATGTAACACAAGTTAGAAAAGCTGAGGCGTAAAACAGTATAAAGTTAATGCATAGATATAAGCATTTATTGTTCCCTCCTTACAAAAAAACATATCAAAGTAGATCTGCAGTGTTTTTATTCATTGCCTTTATTATGTATCAGTTTATTGTAAAAAATATATATGCATAGAATATTACAAACAATTAATGCATAGTTAGGACTATCATACGTTACATTAGCCACTAACAATGAACCATGTCTCATCAGCTTCACTAAAACAGCAATTCAAAAAAATGTTTATTTGTACTTTATTTGTTGTCTTAATTGTGTGTTTTAATAATCCTCAGTGAGAATGAAAATTGTACATGTCACTAAACTTGTACTTTGTGTCATTTATCTGGCCGTGGGGCAGACTTTTGCTGGCAACAAGGGGTTGCGGGGCATCAAAGCATTTACTGTCGGTCTCCTCTGGAATATTGGCACTCCTGAATGAAGTTGTCGATTGGTTCCTGGAAGATATTTGGCCAGATTGTGCGTGATATGACCACGCGCTGGAGGCTGAACCAAAAGAGGCACAGGAGGAGCTCTCGGGAACGTTGAAGGAGTCGAGGCCGAAGGAGGACGAGGAGGAGGAGGAGGCAGACTGGGCCGGAGGCGGTCGGGGCTCATGCAGGTTGAGTTTGGAGACCAATGGCTTGCCGACGGTCACTGGCTGCCTTTCCTGGACCTCATCATCCATGTTGGAATAGGTGTAATGAAGGCAGATGGTGAATGTGAGCTCCCTCTGTAAAGACAGTGAAGAGCAGGAATGGGTTTTTTTTTCAGTTTTATAGTAATATTAAAAAAAAGACTTGGCTCTGAGTTCTGAATCTTTCCATAAAAGTCTGAAATATTGCTTAAAATAGGAAAATATCTTCATGTAACATACTTACAATTATACTGTTAATGAACGTGGTTATATTTAAAAGGTTTGCGACAACTCTTAATGGGTTGGCGCAAGGGATCAATAAAGTAACTATCTAATATTAAACACAATCACAATGTTTTTTATCATAGAGAGAACTTCTCATGAAAACAATAATAACAGTGTCTAACTTTGAGTCTCTGGAGGCATCGGATTCGCGTGTAGAGACTCGGGACTTCGGGTGAAGGAAGATCTTCTCTGACCAATAATAAACTTCCGGCTTCAAGAAGAGTTTCCTGGTTACTCTTCTTCAGATCAATGTCCACATCCTGCCAAAGTACGACGGAAGAAAGTCAGTACAGTCAATTACTGCTTTTGTGTGTGCTTCAGGTATCTATGAGCTACGTCCAATGATGTCTTCCCTCCACCCTCTTGTTGAAAGAGAGCTCAGGTCTGCCACACTACAAATCAAGTTATAAAAAAGAAGAACTGCAGATCAAAACCACAATGAGTCATTACAAGATATGAAGAAAATGCTTGTCTTAAATCGTTATCTTAATGTGTAATAAGAGCATGAAAACCTCGGGGAAGTCCGTAAGCTGAGCACAACAGGAAACTATTTCTGGGGGCTTCTCAAGTATCCGAGAGTAGATGACCATGATGTTGGAGAACTCTGCAGCAAATCCAAGCTGGACCTTCACTCCACAGTCAAACTGCAGGCAAAGGCTCTTTGGTAGGACTGCAAAGGAACATTTTGATTATACCTTTAGTCAATACTTTTCATTTCAAATCAACATTAAATTAAGTTATCATCAAACAAGGACAGTAATTCTCATTATATTTAATAATTCCATGCTAAATTTTGTGAAAGAAGTACCGTTCGCAACGGCCCACTGCAGGTTTCGCGCCGAATGGGACGCGGAGCAGACGGCGGTTTGTATCCGGTCGGTGAGGGAACGCCGCTCAGACAGATTACTGCGCAGCTCCAGCGCCTGTCTCCCTCGAGTGATCTCACAGCGCCCCATGTCTGACGAGAGTACACATGTGCCCACACACACACACACACACACACACACACACACACACAGCAGGATAGAATCAGCGCTGTTTAAAGAATTTCCACCCAAAGCCAACAGGTGTGCTCCATCGCCTGCCGGCGCTGCAACGTGACACGTGACCAGAGCTGCTGCGCCCGCAACGCGTTGATCCTAAAGATAGAACAGCAGCCGTTTTTGACCTTTGTGAATCTGCGAGGTCAACGAGGTCCTTCTCGCAGCGGACACAAACGATGGCGGTACTGTTCCAGGTTTTATGGCGAGTGGGACGGCAGCTCCGTGCACAAAACCAGGAAACTAAATTCAAAGCAGCCGTCGACAATTTGATTATTTACATATGTGCTCTTCCTGCTGCGTCAGCCCTGAATATCCTCAGCGAGAAAGTTCAATACCAGAGCATTCAAGAGCAAAACCTTTCATAACGCTGAGCGCCATAGTGGCGCGTCAGGTGAAGTCGTGAGTGCGCCTGTCATTGCAGCGCAGTTTTAATCATAAAGGTAGCATCAGTTCCAACGGGCAACGAAGTGGCTCACTGATAGTAAGCAGATGCACGAGCGTTCAGGCACAGGTTTGGAAAATACACACGAAGGAGCTGCATGCGAGACAATTTCTGGCCATATGATTACTCGCAAAGTAATGTGACCTTCATGACTCTACCAACCTTCAGCTACTCTGTCGAGCATGACCGTGACCTTCTCGTCTTCACAGACCCGCCGTTTGAGGAAGCTTATGAAGATGCCGTTGGACACGTCTTCCCTTTTCACCTCGTATGCTTCAGCGTCCGCGCAGCTAAACACAAAAAGCTCCGCGTGAGTGACGGCGTTTGGCCCGAAATCAGAGAGATTGCTTCGGACGGGTTCCGGCTATTCCACCGTCTAACGGTGGAGGAGAATCAGCAAACTTACGTGGCATATCCAAACACTATATTTGCTGTCACCTTGAGCAGCCCTGGTTGTACGATGACAACGTCGTATAGGTTTCTGAAAGAAATATTCGCAGCAGATGATCTGACCTTCAACATGATGAAAAATAGCCGGCACATCGAGTCAATAATTTAAAAAGTCATCCATACCTTTTGCGGCACATGTCTAGCAGCAATACGTTAAGCCCAGTCTCTTTTTCCTGCATCCTGGTTAGTATGTTCTGCACACACAAGCAGTGCTCGGAGGTGTAGGAGGACGGCGCGTCGATGGGAACCATGAAGCTGTTGCCGTAGTTCTCGTAACCATGACCAGCAAAGTACAGCAAGCCTGTGGAAGGAGGAACCAATACGTGTTATTGAATTTGATGTACCAACGCACGCATATAATTCACTTTTTGAGCATAGTCCAACATATTGTCCAGATGGACGAGAGACCAACCGTAGACTCCCTTGTCGAGCAGCAAGAGGAACTCCGTTACGGCGCTGTGCATCTCCTGCCAGTTCAGGTCGAGCAGAGAAACCACCTTGAAGTCCATTTGTCTGAGAAGGTTGGTCAACTCGTGGACGTCAGCGATGGGAGCGCACAGCTGAGTGTGGTAGAGGTAGTTCATGTTGCCAATCAGGAGAGCGACTTTGTCCGTGGCTGTGGGAGGAGGAAATTTAGGCGCCATGAAAGAAATCAGATAATCAACAGCTATTGTGTTTTGATTTGATTATTTTTGGGTTTTTTGCACAAAACCCACCATAGAACTGCTTGACTAGTGGGGTTGGGTTGACCGTCTCTTGCATTTGGTGTAATTCGGGTCCGTAGCTCGACCTGTGAACTTCCTGTGAGTCTGCCAATATAAAAGGATGTGAATAAAAAAATGTAAAATGCGGTTTACTGTCTGGTTTAAATTTCTACAATTCTTAGTGCTTAGAAATGCTGATCAAACAGCATTATATCAACACACGTACGCGCATGCACACACACACACACACACACACACACACACACACACACACACACACACACACACACGACAACCACAAATACCAGCAAGCAGATTAGCTGCTTTGACACAGTAAGCCTTTCACTGGTGAACTTACAAAAAAGGAATCGAAGGCAGATGTGGTGTAGTGAAGCGGAAAAGGATTTAATAAAAAAAGGAAATACAATTCTGGTCTAGTTCCCTTTTTTCTCCCCATTCTATATAGATAGGTGTTTACAATCATGTTATAGATATTACCTGGACCACGATCAATTTCTACCCAGGATGCATCGGTGATGGAACTGGGGCCTGCATAGAAGTGCAAAACAGCAGATTATCCGATGCAGAGTATTAGTGTTTTATTGAGCCTGTAAAATGTGCAATAGACTTAATGCTGCTCTATATTTATTAATGAATTGCTTTTCACCGATGGTTATCGTCGCTGTGTCACTGCAGGCCTCATGATACAAATTGAAAATCCTGCACTTGTATTGTCCTCTATGTGCTGTGGTCACACATGGGATCTACGTGGAATTAAAAAAAGGATATTGAGACTGTTTTCATTATAAAGTAAAATAGATAAACCTTGATTTTGTTTATAGCACTTCTTTCATGGTTGAAGTTTTTTTTTTAATGATATTAATGGCCGACGTACCTGGAGAACGCGCGTCTTGTGTTCTTTCATGGGCACCGCGTTGTGGTACCACTCGTACTGCACAGGCGGGTTGGCCTCCGCGTTGCACTCCAGGATCAGAGGGTCGCCCTCAGACACCGCCTGGGACCGAGGCTGAAGATTGATACGCAGCCCACTTGCGGACCCTGGAAACACACTGCTGCTGCAGCCTGAGACGACAAAGGTTTCTAGGATATTACGTCACACGAGAAACAATAGAACGAGGTAAACGGGCGCCGAGAAGGATGGAAGGGAGGTGTTACCCGGACTGGCACCTGCAGCCTGGACGAAGCGAACGTGAGCCCACCGCGAGAAGGTAAAGTTGCCCCCGTGGTGCACTCGACAGATGTAGTGACCCTGGTGGGCCGAGACTGAAGGACGCAGAACCAGCTCTGGTGTATTTCCTGTCCCATCCAAAACCTGGAACCAGCCAATAATCATTGTCATCCATGTGATGGGAGGAAGGCAGATTTAACCCAAAAGTAACATTAATACAGAGCTGACCACGTTACTCGGGCTCTGACCTGAAATCCTATTGGTTTTGGTAACGTAATTAAACAAGGTTCTGCTGACCTCGTCTTTGCCTCTGAACCACTGGTAGCTGAGTCCAGGGGGACCGGAGGCTCTGCAGGTCAACACCACCATGCCCCCTGCTGTGGCCTGCTGGTTCTGTGGCTGCGCTGTGATCTGGATCAGCTCTGCCGCTACCACACACACACACACACACACAGGACAATTTCATGCACAGAGAAAAAGTAGGAGAACAACTCTATTTTTATGTAGTTGTGGGGCATCACGGTGTAGCTTTGTGTTTTGTCAACATGTAAGTAAACTGAGCCAACACTCATGTTTGTCCTTGCAAGTGTCGCTGTGGTCAATAAGGAAGCTGAAGCAGTGGAGGAGAAGGTGCAACATGACCCTGAGCAACACTAAAGGATTACACAGTTTGCGGAACGATGCTTTGACTGCAAGGAGGTATGCTGTAATCGTTTTTTTTTTTTTTTTTACATCTCCTACACTTCCTCACATGTGGTGGTGAGGTACCGCACAGCTTCCTGGTGGTCCATCTTCCTGAGGCAGTGCAGCAGGAAGTCCAGGGAGCAGGACCGGTCGGCCAGCCGAGCCAGCAGGGCTCGGCCCGGACTGCCCGCCGTGCTCAGCACCTGCAGCGAGCAGCTGGTCAGCTCGCTCTCACTACGGAGAAGGAGGTCAATGGCGAGAACATTGAAAGACTTTGCATAAAAGATTGCAAGTATGTGCTGTGGGATGGAACGGGCCGCCCTGTTTCTCACACGTGTCAAAGATAATTCCTGGAATACGGGATGAGGTGTGCATGCTCTAACTAGCTATCATGGTGGGAGGGGGTGGGGGGGGGTGTTCCAAAGAATCATAGACAAAAAAACATTCACTCACACACCCTACCGGCAATTAATAGTCATCATTTTTAACCTAACATGCAGACTCCACGGGGTTTCGAACCCGGGACCTTCTCGCAGTGTTAAGTGGTGCCTTCAATGTCTCACCTGCAGCGGAATTGCGGCTGCTCGGCCACGGCGTCGGCCAGCTGCCTCCATCCGCAGGTGGTGTTGTCCAACATCTGGGACAACCGCTCCAGGACCGGTTCGCTCAGACCGCCGACGGTCATGTTCCACGCGCTTCCGTCCCCGTGCGTGTCACAGCTCCACCGGGACCACCGGGGACATCGAGGTGAAGCCACCGGGGCGATTTGTCTCGCGGAACTGAGGTAAACCGGAACTGGTAGTAGACGGAAACTACAGGTAGTAAAAGGCAGGTTCGGTAGGGTTTTTTTTAATCGATTTTAATGAAAATGATTAACGAAAAACATAAAAGCAAACACCGGGAGTACGTTTTCAGGTGTAAGTCAACTAAACACCCGCGAGACCTGGACGCTTCCGCAGTTAAACAAACGCACGTTTATGAACCTCGCGGTGAGAGAACTTACCGACTTTAGAAGGAATCCGGTTTGCGGGCGAAGAGAAACGAGGGCGCGCTTTACCCGAACGGACCTGCGGTGTTCGTCCAGTGTTCAGCGAGTTTGTTCCGCAGATGATCAGATTCTCATTTCGGTTCCTCATTTCTGCCGTTCCAGCGCAGGCTAATGGGGGGCACGTGACCTCCGTTCAACGCAATTATGTAAAGTTTAAGTTTGGAAAGAGATTCACAGATTGTGACGTCACGTAAGTATGGCTCATGTCTGAATAGGCTTATTTTATAAAAAAAACAAACATGTCATGATATTGGGGGGAACAAATGCTTTAGTAACAAGACTTTTATCTCCAGCGTATGAACTGTCTGAACACCCTTCTTCTCAGCCCAAATCCTTCTGTCTGCACTAAGCTTATCACAAAAAACTACTACTACTACTACAGTTTGAAGCAAGAATGAACAGGGAACGTTTGCAGGAGATTTACTTATTCCTATTTATTTATTATATGTTTTCAAGAAGAAGAAAAAAACATAGGAAACAGGATTTGTGGAAATATTAGCAGACCATTGCTCTTTTGCGATATTGAAAAAAAAAAAAAAAAAAAAGAAATATTGCCATGTACAAGGTCATTCAGTGCAATGCACCAAATAAAAATACCTTTATGAAATTGACTAAACAAAGTAGCGCACCACTGAAGATCTCGTACCACAAGATCTTCAAAAGCCGGACATCTCAAAAGGAATCTGACCGGAGAAGTACAATCCGAATGGTGGTTTCACCAAACCACGTTTCTAAAGTCAAGAACACGTATGACGTTCATATTGTGTTGTTAAAATGTTAATGTTGAGGCTCTACTCTGGCCGCGGGTTAATCTTTTTCAACAAGCTTTCTCATTGCTTACAGGTGTTGTCACCAGAGGGCCATTAAATTTGCTTACAAAATTTAAAATAACACAGCGGAAATGACAAAGAGTTGGTTGAATGAGAATTCATTCGGGGAGCTGAACTCTGAACGTACAGCAAAACAGGCAAATCAGTCCATCGAGTGTGAAGCGACCCAGCGTACGGGTAGAAGCCCTCAGGTCAGTCTGGCGATGGCCTAAAACTTCTTCCCTTTATGGAGTCTGTTGGAATGCCAAATCTTCTCCTTCCTCAGACGCTTCCAGTATTCCCAGGTTTCCGAATCCAGCTCCTGCAGCTTTTGGGGCTTTCCCAAGTTCATCTGGAACAACCTGATTGAAAGATAAAAGGAGGGGAGAAATCCAATCAGTTATTATGTGTTTGAACAGTTGGTATGATGTAATAACTTAAACCTAGTCACCCAGTTATGTCAATAACCGTGGAGCAAATTAAAAACGTTAAAAGCAATTGCGTATGGTTTTATTTTTGTTTGTTTAGCTCTAGCTTTCATCATAAGAAATCTCGAAAAGGAGGATGTATTTGTAAATGATGATGCGAGTAAGCAAGAGATAGAAACGTGTGCCCTTACCACTCTGGATATTGATCATGGGGCTTCAGCTGGGGGTCTTCTCCCTTGCTTGAGGATGTTGACTCCGACTGCATAAGAAGTGAGTCTAACGGGGTCTCTACACACATCTGGACCCTTCACCTCTGTTTTCAACACGCCTTTCCCTTTCCCTTTGGCCGCTGCAAAGAACAGAAAAGAGATATTTGAAGGCGTACAAAACGATTTGTGCTTGGGGTAATGAGTTGATGGAAAATAAAAAATATATACACTGACGTTTTATTCATTAACAATGGTTTAATTTAACATGCACTTCTGGCCCTCCTCGGTTGTTACGGTGTCTTCCTTGAGGGACAGATTGTAAAGCCCTCTGAGGCAGATTTGGGGCTACACAAAATAAAAGGAATCAAATTGAAAAATGAACGGGTCAACACGACGCATGTGTCTCGCAACTAGACGTAAACAGATACGGTAACGTTGGTTACTTCGTCCTATTTACTCACCAACTTTCTTGGCGTATCCACATATCTGTATTCTGCTGAACACACTCGTCCTGCAGAGCGATGTTGAAGCGTTGGTTGCGATGCACTTCGTCAACGTTGCCGCCCTAAATAAACTACACCCTGACATGTTTAGGAGCGGGTTACCAGACGACGTACAACACCGTGCTGCTGTTTGACATTCATAGCAGTTCCTTCAACTTCCGGTTTTTTTTCAGACTGTGTGAAAATGGTCTAGCGCCCCGCTGCGGGCGGGCGGGCGCATTACAAGACGGCGGAGACAAGTACCGCTTATATCCGACAGGGGGCAGCGCCGCCGCGCGTGAGCAGCCCGGTACGAGAATAACAAAGCAGAAGAAGAAGGAGAAGCAACCGAACAGCTTCGAGAAGATGTCTGAGTACGCAGCGTCCCAGAAGAGTACCCTGAAACTAAAAGGCGTGGGGAGCATTTCAGCTGGAAAAAAGTAAGTGTTGTTTCCATGTCTTGTTTTTGTTTATTTAAATGAGAAAGACGATGACGTGTTAACAGAAATACGTTAACGCATCGTGCGAACAACGCACCGGGTGAGCAGTCGAGGCTAACGCTAGCATCTTTGCTAAGATCATAACAATGAAATCATTTAGTTTTTAACGAACATACGGCTTAACTAGTTCTACATGTTTCCAGCCCAGCTGTGTAGATGTTTGCACAGCTCTCTCTTTGTAAGGCACTGTCAGACCTGTGCGTTGCGCGTTATGTTTTGTTATCTGTATCATTATTGTCTTGTCTCAGCTGGACCCTGATCCTTAAATAAAGTTTGAATGGTAGATTGAATATGCACAACGTTCACTCGGATTTACTGAGTATTTAACAATCATGTATCATCTGCACAATGTTCAACATCGCAACAGCAGGGTGAGTGTGATACTGTTACTGTATATGTAAGTTGGATAGACTTGCACAGGTATTTAATCGGACACAGATTAATCTCTGGAACAGTTTGATTATACGAACAATTGTTGCACTTGATCTTGTAAGCTGTTTGTCGTTGCCTGTTGAATGGAGTGATTGGCGCAGCGAGCCTCTTCATCAACTAACTGGCCATTCCATGTTGTTGTTGTTGTTGTCAGGAAGAAGAAGAAGGATAAAGAGAGTAAGCGTCGCTTGGAGCAGCTTGCCAACGGTCAAAATGAAGAGGAGGGGAAATCCACGAAGACATACGTTGACAAAAGAACACCGGCTCAAATTGCCTTTGACAAGATGCAAGAGAAGAGGGCAAGTCACAGTTCTGCGGTCTTAAAGAGCTGCTGCGATCGATTGTAGAAGTAAAATTCGGCAGTGGTTATACATTTACTATGTTGGTCAAAAAGCTCTATCATGAGTACCAACCACCGCAAAGCCATATCAGTTTGGGGGTCAATACTTAATAATAACTCCATATGGTCTGTTGATTTATTAACTTGTCTTTTGATCTTTTCTCTTCCACCAGTGGGGATTATTTTAAAAAATAGGCTTGTTCCTTGTTTCAAGTGAATGTTCCGACATAATGTATAGCGCTGCATAAACATGGTGAAGCAGCAGAACGTCTGCTGCCTAAGAGCACGTTTAAATAAAACACATATTATTTCTATGTCTTCTTTCCAGTGAAAGTAGGCCACTGCAATAATTGCAAAACAATAAGGAAGTTTTAGTGTGTAATTAAAGCTAAAGGTATTATTGTCAAAAACCTCTGCTGTTTAGTAGTATCCTAATAGTGATGTGTTTAGTTTGCTTGAACAGAAAGTGATTAATGTGTATCTATTAAAACTCATTTTTGCAATCACTTGCTTTCTCCCTTTTCCCTTAAAGCAAATGGAGAGGATTTTGAACAAAGCCTCTAAGACGCACAAACTCCGAGTGGAGGTAAGTCACGTCAGGACCGACGTTGCACCATTCAGTCCACACATTTATACATACAAAATATCAGTCTGTATAAACCTTGTATAAATGAATGTAGATTTATAAACTTGAGAATTGAGGCCAAAAATGTATATATTGTTTTGTTCATGTGCAGGATTTCAATCGCCACCTGGACACGCTGACGGAGCATTACGACATCCCCAAAGTCAGCTGGACCAAATAGAAGAGGAGCAGTTGGTTACTTGGCTTTTTGTTTATTACTCGAGCTTTTATGTATTTACAAGTAAAATATATTAATTGGCATTCAGTCATTGTTTTAATTCCTGATCTATACATTAAAGGATTTAAGTGAAGGAATATCGTCTGTGTTTCTGTGTCTTGCATTGCAAACGTGTGATTCCACCAAAGCGCAGCTCTTCTGATAATACATTTAAAACTAGAAAAAGCATTTCCTGCTGAAAATGCGTTGGAATGCAAAAAGCTGAAAGCTGCACTGAATATTTAAAAATAGCTGAAAATACAGAAAGTTGAAGGGAATTTGAATACATTTGCTGAATATTTAAAAATAGCTGAAAATACAGAAAGTTGAAGGGAATTTGAGTACATTTGCTGAATATTTGAAAATAGCTGAAAATACAGAAAGTTGAAGGGAATTTGAATACATTTGCTGAATATTTAAAAATAGCTGAAAATACAGAAAGTTGAAGGGAATTTGAGTACATTTGCTGAATATTTGAAAATAGCTGAAAATACAGAAAGTTGAAGGGAATTTGAATACATTTGCTGAATATTTAAAAATAGCTGAAAATACAGAAAGTTGAAGGGAATTTGAGTACATTTGCTGAATATTTAAAAATAGCTGAAAATACAGAAAGTTGAAGGGAATTTGAATACATTTGGTGAAATAAAAGATATTAGAAAAGCTGAAATTAATTTGAAATAGCTGAAAATACAGAAATGGGAGAAGCTGAAAGGAATTTCAATAGATTTGCTGAAAAAGCAGAAATGAAAACAGCTGAAATAAATGTGAAATATTGCAAAACAGAAGTTGCAGGAGCTTAAATGAATTTTAAAAAGTACAGAAATAACAAAAGCTGAGATGAATAAAAAGAAGTTTAAAATTGTTTGTAGTAATGTTAGTTGTAATTTGGGTATTAGTACTAGCAGTAGAAGTCGGTTTAGTATCAATAGCAGTAGAAACAGCTGGAATACTGATACTATTAGCCATAGTAGTATTT